GTGTGTGTGTGTGTGTGTGTGTATATATATATATATATATATATATATATATATAATATTCTGTAACTCTGAAACTTCCGTCGGTGCTGTGCTTTTTGGAAATCGAATTTCCCAGAGGAACTCACCCGAGGGATTAATAAAGTTCTATCTAATCTAATAAACACTGCATTTACAGTATCACCAGCCAGATCTGATATTTAAAAAATGCTTTGATCCCTACGATTCCTGCTCTGACAAGTCAACACTTTGGACTGTTACAGATCTCAGACTGTCCTGATAAGCATGTATATGCAGGCTATAACACATGGTGGGTAACTGTCCTGATTCCTTGACTTAACCTATCACCCCTGTCAAAGGTAGACCCTTCCTTTTGCTACCCAAAGGACAATTTTACAGCTCACCATAGTTTTTTCTGATTTTCACCAGCAGTAGTAAACTGATTTCTGACCTGCCATTCATAAATAAATTTGTTAATTTTGATTGAGATGTGATATTAGTTGCTTTCAATTCCTTTATTCTTATGCATTATGTGCTTTGTTACTTTGGGTTGCATGTAAAAAACCCACTGGTGTGAAACTGATTCACTAAAAACAGGTTTGGCAGATGTCGAGACCCGTGTTTCTTTATATAGTTCTCTATAAGGAGTGGCATCGCATAAAGGTGATAAAAGCACAAAGATGATAAACCCTGTGGGTAAAAAACACAAAACATCTGAACCCAGAAACAGAAAAACAAACAGCCCTCAAATTGAGCGTTAAGCAGCTTTGCAGTAAATCCCAACCAAATGTGATCCACAGGGGGAAAAAAAAGCAGAGAGCGATTAAGAGACAGAACATGACGTCCTACATCACTGACCAGGAAGGTTAAAGGGCTGAGATAGAGAGACATTAACTTCTATTGTCACCTATCAAAATAGGTGAGTTTTCTACTAATCACTTTACATTTTTAAACAGGTCTTTTTATTTAAAAAATGAAAAACCCCTTTTTATAAATATAAACCTTTTTTTTTTATTTAAAAAGAAGACAAAATTTTATGGTGACCCAAAAATAAATAGTTAGACTGAAGGCTTCAGTGGGGCACCAGATAAAAATGGATGCTGATGATGTGCTGCAGGATGGGAGTGTGTGGCATGTGAGAGACACGCTGTTCTCTGCAGTCTGCACGTTGGAGTCAAAACAGTGGCTCCCCGGCCAGAGGCCACCCCACAGTGAACCCCCAATCCAGCACATGCTCCAGCCAGGCACGTGCATGCTGCCGTCTCCCCAGCCTGACTTTGCCATAGATGTGACCTGACGTGGTCTGCGCACATTCCCTGCACTGTGATGAGCTTTGTGTTTACACGTTTTCACACGTCTAATAAATCTGCAAGGAATATCTGAGCACAAAAGAGGTTTATGGTGCAACACAGCCTATAATGACTATAATATAGTTTAATTACAAGCATTTCTTTACATTTCTGCACCAGCTACACCCAGACATCCAACTTGTTGCAACCTTTAAATTATAGGTTTTTAATCATAATGCTTCATTTTTTAATTTAAGATTTATTTAATGATGCAACACTTCTGCATTCAGCATTTCATTTCTGTTGTGATGTTTCAAGTCTTGAAGACAATCACCAATCACGGAGCAACCAGAAAAAAAGACCCTGGTGACTCCCATGTGAAAATGTTCATTTACAGCAGAGAAACATGTTTACAGCCATCTCCAGAGACCAGTTTGGGTCTCTACAGCTCATTTACCACTTCTTGATAAATGTCACCAGGGTATACCTCACCCATTTGAACTTGATTACTTAAACTTGGAGGAGTGGCTGCTTTGACTGACAGGTGAGTGCTGGCACAAGCAGCTGTAGCCAGCAGCTGTTTGCTAGGCTTCATTGCTGTGAAATTGGACCTGAGAGCTGGGTTTTGGTGCTGGCGCCTTTTACAGCAAGACTTTGTTTTCATGACTGAAATTCTAGTATGTTATTTGTCACTTAGCACAAATTAGCAGGTATCTCTGTCTGTGCTATCCACCCATACAGTCTATGGGTGCAGTTTTCTAACCGTGCTTGCTAGCATTAGCTGATAACTTAGCATTTCACCATTTGCTCTCCTAAAATGACACCAAAAAAAGTCCAAATATATTTGTTGAGACATCAGTGTAAAGTTACATTGGCTATATTTATTTTTATATACAGTGTATAAGCTAAATAAGATAATGAGGCCTGGAAATATAGTTACAATACTGCTTTTTGGGGTTGAAACTGTTAGCTGGAATTGTGGCTTCAGATTCTTTTTTGCAGTTTCCTAACCTGAGAGTGTCTAACTAGAAATTCACAAGACACACCTACTCGTGTCAGTAGGTCTTTCTCATGAAATATTTAGTAGACTATTTCCTTCTAGCATTAGTAGCTTAGTTACCATAAACTCATGTTTGTTATCTGTTTATTTAAAAATAACCGAACAGGGGGTCTTCAAAGGCCCTTAGCCTAAGATACAACAAAATTACACTTTAGCTTTATACTCATAACAAGATCTAGTCTTAAAGGAAGCCTCGAACAAGAGGTTTAGTTGTTTTTTTTAAAGGAACAACACACTTTAGCTTCTTTGCATATTGTGTTAAAAATGTAGTGAAATTAAACACACTGCCTGTGATCTCAAGAGTGAAACCCATAAAAAACACTAGCAATATGAGAGAATGAATATATACTTGATGAGCTCAGGACTGAAATATCATGCACCTATAAGTGGAGTTCATCTTTCTGAGAGATTTTGAACTCATAATAAAAGTTTATTTTTATCTGAGGATGAGACTCACAGTTCATTTAAATTTCCTGCACTACTGCTTTGAATGTCACCAACTCCTGAATATATTTCTGCCCTAAAACAAATGTCTGCAAAGCTATTTCTTCTAAATAACTTCACTTGGTTTTGAATATTGGGGTCATTTATCTGAGCGTAATCCAAAGTGCCTTTAATTAAGATTTGTTAGTTGAGAACGCACCCCCACCCCCAACCTCCATCCCAAATAATCATCCTCCAATCCACATTCGCTACCGATGACCCTATCCCCATTCTTTTGTCTCTGTGGTTCAGAACAGATTTTGATGACGCATCAACGGTCAACCAATAGGCGCTCTTCATTAAGGGCCGTGTCCTGATGCTAGCATCAGTGAAAATTTTCCCCAGTAACGTGGGGAGGAGGAGCTAATGGCGGGAGCAGAGGGTGCACGTGGCGCCCAACGAGTTCTCAGCCTGTCACAGGGAATCACATCAGCCTGTGAGCAGGCATGCGCACTTTATACCCTCCACACCCTGCAAGAGAAAGGGAGAACGTGCAGAAAAGCAATTGCAAATGTAGCGCACTCACATTTGTTGTTGTATGTAGCATGGCACGAATCGAGCACCAAGACACTGAGGGATCGGTTTTGTGTGACTAACCTGTCACGTTTTGCTGTACTTGACCGATGGCCAGCACACCGCTGCTGAGGAACTTGAACAATTCCACCATGTTATAATGAAGATTTTGGTTTATAAGGTTTTGTTTTGACCATCATCCAAGATTCAGTATAAAGGACAACAGAAAACTGGAGCTCAAAGACTTGGTTGTTTCCAGCATACGTTCTGCATTTTTCAACATGCAGATGCATGTATTGCATAGATTTCCAACTGACTAGCGTGCTAATCTACAAAACCACAAGTATTAGATTGCACTGGCAGACAAAGAAAAAAAATATATAGCTGCCTCATTTGAAAAGGGAGACATTACATATGAGTGACCACATCCTGTTGCGTGCAGATGACACGAGTCTGTGTTGCAGGAAATGCTGTAGCTGTGCAGCTCCCTGTGCCAACCTCACAGCGGTTTGTACGCTGCCGCCACCATTTTAATTTCAGAAGAAACTGTGCCAAGAACAATTGATTTTTCTACATGTTAAAATATTCACAGCTTTATTAAGTCAATACGAAAATAAAGTGATACATTCATAAAAACAAAAGGGACTCGTGAGATTTGTTTGGATTAAAGTTCTGCACAACCATGCATTTCAGTAAAGTCTGCACTAAAATTAGTACATCCCAGAAGGAGGGTTCTTAGCCAGGGTGCTAATCAAGGTAGTTGCACACAGGACTTCACAAAGTATTGTTAAAACAGTGAAATCACAACCAGAAAAAAAAAGTAGAGTTTAGTCCCTTTGCATATCCACTGTAACATGTACATGTTTCTTTAGTTCTGTGCAAATATTCACTTAATCTCAGACACCTGGCAGATACAATTTTATAAACACAGATCAGCCACAACATTCAAACCACTGGCAGGTGAAAGGATTAACATCATTTCGATCATATGTTTACAGTGTTACGTTCTGACTTGGCTCCTAGTTTTAATAACATTGTTGAAGGCCAAACGCGCTACCTCATATTAATGGCACCCCCCCACAGCAGCAGACTCCCCCCAGCAGAGCGATGTGCTCCGACGTGCCGCAAAAACTCTTGGGGACAACTTAACGAACACAAGGTGGAACGAGCATCAGTCACAGAATCCACATCCAGCCACTGTGGTTTCAGCAACATGAGGAGAACCTACCTACAAAACTTTAAAATGTTGTGGCCAATTGGTGTATAGACATCTGTGTATAGACATAGCCCTGTGAACAGGGCTATGCAAGGTTCTTTGGGTCAAAGGAAAAAAAAAAAAATTTTAAAGCTACATTTTTAAACCCTTTTTCCACATTCTGAGCCTGTCTTCCCTTCATTACCAGGTAAACTTCACTTGCAGTTAGCGTTCCCTTAAAAAGGCATTACTGTTCATATCATTAAATTCCTTTTGAACAAGCTTGTTTCACAGTTTAGGTTTCTCTGCTTTTTATAGCTCAGAACAGCACTGACAGCATTCTGCAAGCATCTAACCTGGTAATAACTAATAGTCAGATACAATTAGCTGTCAAGGTTTTGATCACCCACCCAAACCGGTCTACAGAAAAGAGTCCAAACATGACCCAGAGTGACCCATCCCGATAAATCCTGGCAACAGAAAGAGTAGAAAACACTCAGTGCCCGGTCAGAAAGTTTTGCACGTGGTAAGTGAGGGATCCCAGAAATTCAAAGTGTGATTATGACTGTGAGGTGAGAAAAGTTCGGTCCCCAGAAACACTGCTGTGTCTCGACTTCTACTTCCTCGCTCCACCGCCATCACTTGTCATTGGTTCATCCATTATTTCGACGAATGGCACCGGCAGTCGAGCCTCTTCAGGGTGCAGGCTGGGCATTCACCTTCTCCGTCATCTGTTTGGCACTGTAGTAAGACAAACTCAGGCCCATGATGGCCAGCATCATGGCTATCTGGTTGACAGTACGGTCTTGTGGCTGCGCCTGCACCTGACCTGCTACTTGCCTCTGCAGAGAAGGGGAAAAGGGTCAGAGAGCAGTGGACAAAAAAAAACTTCATACTTTAAAAAAAAAAAGCCCAACATCTGCAACTTCAGTTCCACAGCTCTGTGCCATGTGACCCAATGTTCAGAAACGGCGATTAAAAATTTACAAGACTAAGAGATTTTAGTCAAAGAGGAACAAGAAGTAAAAAGGAACTATACCAGGAATGAAAATACTAGGAAGTGATGCCTACATTGGATGGTGTGTACTGTAAACAGCTTCTGAATGTACAGCCACCTCCAAGATCATTTGAATTCCTATACGGCTTTGGAAATTTAAAATTCCCTCACTCGTTAAAAAGAATATACGTGGCAAGATGTGGCCTCCAGTAAGAGGACAAAGCCCACAAATAGCATTTGTTTTCAGAACTAGCTGTAACTTTTTAGCAGTTCATAGTCATTATCATTTCTGATATAGAAACAAGGCTTTGTTTCCAAATTGGCACACATAAGCAAACACAAAATGTCCACAGCTAACGAGACGTACGAACTGACACAAGTGACGCGTGGATTATGCCGACCGCGGGTGGAACAAAAGGAGCCGAGAGTATATGGTATCACAATGATTAGTGTCACCCCTAATTACGTTTGTGTTGAAAGCAGATTGTGGGTCACTGAGCCCCTCGTCTAAAGCGAATGTAAATGCTTATGTAAGCATGAAATAAAGACGATATGAATACTGGGTGACCAAAGGGAGGATAAAGGTGAAGTCCCATTAAGCTTGCACAAGAGGGTTTTTGAAAGGATTTAAAAAGCCACATTACTCCTGCAGATGGCTCAGTGGATGGAGATCAGTGTGAAAGCATCTATCAATAATATGTTCATTAATAAAGTGACAGAACATAAAGTTCATACCTGGAGGAGACGGAAGTATCCAGGTGTCAGCCTGCCCAGTCTGATGATCATGTCTGCTAACTGGGTGTGAGGTGGTTTAAAGCTGATGCAAGAGCTGGGCTGGTTCAAGACCTACGGAGAAGTAAATTTGAAATATTAATACATAAAAAACAACAAGAACAGGATTTCCATTTGTGTTTTGAGAGTCTGGGATTAATCGACTTTTAGAAAAGCACGAGATAACCAAAGATCTGAATTTCAAAATGAGATGTAGCTGCCAAAAGATGGAGAGTAGAAGATTGGCTTGCGAAAAAAGCTAAAGCATCTGATCCATGCGTGAGGAAGGTACATCCCCTGTCTGAAGCCACGGTACAAAAAACGTTCATGTGTACAGAGAAGCACTTTCTTTGTGCTTAAATCCATCGTTTCACATCTGGAATCCTTTTTGATTTGCCCTTCTTTTTTTTGCACAGATTTTTTTCATATTTTGCTTTCTACCAGGAATGCCCCTCAGCACCACCTCTTTATTAAATTATGATGTTTGGACCAGAGCAACAGAGCCTCTATTCAAGCTGCATCAGAAACAGACGCAACAAAGAGAAAGACAGTCTCGTTCATTCACATATGGATAATCCCATATGTGACAGATGCAAGGGCTGGTTTAAAACAAACTGGATACTAATAGTTGAACAAAGACATTTAAAAAAGTAAATTAAAAATAAAATAAAATAAAATAAAAAATAAAAAAAAACGTAGCTTGAGAAATAAAAATAAAATACACCAGAAAGGGAAAAGACTCTACAAAGTGGAGTAAGGTGTAAGGATATGAGACTGTTAGACATTAGGTCATCTAAAAAAAAAATAAAAAAAATCCCACCTCAGCATAATGATGCACAAAAAGGTTCGACTTACAACAAGCAAACCAACAAGTGTTTGCTTCATAAAGAAACAGCAAAGTGACTTTTCTCTGAGATGCATCTGCGCTGCAGGCTGTGGGAATTTTAAGGAAAGGGATTGTGGAGAAGGTAAGACATTCAGTATGTGAAGGATTAATGCGCCAACCTGGTTGGAGTTACACCCCTTGGGAAAGGAAAAAAGGAAAATATAATCCAAGCTTTAAGAGTTGGTCCTTGTGTCTTATAAAAACCCCTTTGGAGGGGGGTTCTCACCTTTCCAAAAAACAACGTCGAGAATCTCACTCCAACTGGCCAGCGGGACCTTCTACTTCTCAGCTTAAAAACCCATAACAGATGCCAAACCGTGATGAACTTGAACTATAGAGAGCTTCTGCACCGCGCTCCGCCTTTTTATACAGCCCCTGCCCAACCAGATCTTCAGGCTCGCCTACGAGCACACGCCCCCTTTCCAACACAGACTCACCGCTGTCACACCGCATTACTCTCAGTGGGTTGCTTTCCCCCAAAAAACCCTCACACACCCCTTCCACAGCCTTTCCAAAACAAGAACTGCCGGACAGGATTAGCTCACTTAGTCAACAAAATGTAAAGAGAATAGTAGCAAATTGAAAGACAGCAAAACAGTTCCATCTCAGAGGTCACATGTTAAAGTTTAGTTTGTTAAATAACCAGCTTGCTGTGGATATTTAATCTCCAATTAGGGCAAATATTAAATGTCATAGACCTCCGGAAGGCCCATCAAGAAGCTCCTAGCAGTGCAGGTTGGAAACTTGGGACATAATTTCCTCTTATTAACGTTTGTTAATTTAAGTGTGTTTTAATTTCCTGCTGTGACTGTTTGCGTTACATAATTTTCTCATTTCACCAAGAACAGTTGTTTACAATCATGTAGCCTCTGACATGAGAGTACACGACATTAATTTTAAGGGTTTAAATTTCCAGTATTAATTAACCTTTACTTTAACACCTTTCTTAATGACTAATTTCAATCACTGCTGCAATTTCAATTGCTGATCCGATGAGGATATTCTGCTGAATTTCCATTAATTCCCAGGAACTCAAATGTTTGCATCTTGTCATTCACAGACACACACACACTCATATACATGTATTGCTTGTACATGGGAAAGAATCTTAAGACACAAGGAGCTTCCCAGCGTAGATAAGCAGCTGAGTCAGAGTTTAGGAGTGGTTTGCTACATGCACTTCATCTGTGAAGTATTCATGTTTGTTTGAAGTCTTAATGGTTAATAATAGGGTGTTTCCCGGTTTCATGTCACTTCTGACCACGTTTCAAAAATACCAAACAGAATCAGATAGTGACTTTGAGGCATGTTGACACGCGAGTATTTAGTGCATTCATGGACATCCTATCTTGATGTGTTCCCTATTGGCCTCAGTCTAATTAGTAGACCCAAAAAATGCAATACAATGCACAAAAGAAATCTCCCCTTTCGAACAGTAAAAGCTGGGGGGGGAAAAAAACGTGAAGAGGTTGACTCCATCGTTTCATGCTTCCCACAAATATCGGTACTAAAACCTGAACGGTGTCAGTCTGGATTAGTGTCACACATTCACCAGGACCAGCAAACATTTGCTGGGTACACTGTGTACTTTATTCTAAACAGCCAATGAAATCCCGTAGACTCTCCTTTCTTCCCGTCTTGGTCCCGCCTCATGTCACAATTTACTGCCCACTGGAGCTCAATCCCCCCCCCAGCAGCAGGGGATCTACTGTGAGTGAGCAAAACATATGAAAGGGACGGAGGTAGATGTGTGGCACAACTGTCGACCAAGTCAAAATCTCCTGACATGCAACAGCAGCTCAGGACTGAATGCTCAACGCGACTGATCAAGCAGTTGAACCACTATTGTCTGGTCATCCACTACATTCATCACTATGGCATGAGTATATTGTTGACATGCCTGTGTGGATTTGCTGAACAAGATCCTGTGTGATGGAACAACTGGAAACATCTAAAAGAAACTTAAAGCTTTCACAAATGTTTAATTACAAAAAAAAAAAGGATTTTTGGTTTTGTGTGTTATTCACAAAAAATAAAAAAATCCTTTGTTTAAATCTAAAAGTGAATGTCCCTTTCAAAGAAACACCAGGAAAATAGTGTAAAAGGGAAGGGTGAGTGGATTTTCGAGCTTCTATACTGTCCAGGTACAAAATGTACACAATATACACATGCCAGGACTCCAGCAAGACCAGGACTCAACAAAGATGTTAAATGGTAAATGGCCTGTATTTGTATAGCGCTTTTCTAGTCCCTAAGGACCCCAAAGCGCTTTACACAACCTGTCATGCACCCATTCACGCACACATTCACACACTGGTGATGGCAAGCTACAATGTAGCCACAGCCACCCTGGGGCGCACTAACAGAGGCGAGGCTGCCGGACACTGGCGCCACCGGGCCCTCTGTTAGTCTCTGCTGGCCCTGCACACAAACTGACAGCATAAAAAGAACAGCATAAAAAAAACCCACACTGTACAGTGAATTGAATTTAAATTACCCCCCCAGTTTAGATTACAATTTCTTTTGTAACATTTTTATCCAAAGTCTTCACCCTTATTCATGCTCATGAGTTTGTTAGATACAAAACTGTCCTTCTAGGCGTTTTAAATGTCACACTGCTCATCAGGCGCTGCTTCATGAGCAAGTTTTTGTTTTCATAAGACGCTGACAACTTTTTTTGTTTTTCTTTTTTGGAAAAAAAAAAATCATCTGCAATAAGGTGCCACAACAAACTCAGTCAACTTTCTAACTTCAGACAATGTTAATTAGCCCACTATCTCAGGTAATAATCAGCTGTTTGCTTTGGAGATGTTTCTTCGCTCCGTGTTTGTGAACACGTGGTGAAAAGTCAAAAACGTATCTAGGGTTGCCAACCGTCCCTTAAAAAAACGGAATCGTCCCGTATTTAGAAACAAAAGTACACGTCCCGTATTGAGCTAATAAGGGACGCACTTTGTCCCGTAATACAGTGAGAATCAAAAGTAGTCTATAAATGTTTATGGAATTAACGCTTTGTTTGAAAACACTCGGCCTCTCTCCTGCTTTGTGACCAATGAGCTGACAGCACACTTATGACAATTCGAGTATGACAATTCAGATTACCGCTCATCTCATTGGTCGAGGAAAGGTCGCTTACGGAGAAAATACCGGAAGACAACAGATGACCACAACAAGAAGCATGGCCAACAGGGGAACAAACGCCGACACTGCGGTGCAAGTCTCGGACGACAGTACACCTAAAGCTGGGCAGACACTGTGCGATTTTTTTCAGTCACGTTATTCAGCTCCTGCTCAAACTGCACGATTGACTCGCAGGGGTTAGAAGTTCATAGGTCACGATGCAGGTCTCACACTATACTGCCCGATGCTCTGATGCGACCTGAGTGCTCACACTGTGCGTCCATAAAATTAAGGTTATAACAGAAAATCTGTCGCTCGCTCTCTCTGTCTTTCACTCACACAGACACAGACACACCACCACCATCAACTTTGCTAAATTGCTAATGAAAAACATGATCAGGCAGCTGTGATTTAGCAGCGATGTAGATCCAACTATTTTCACGGTTGTTGTGGTCGTGATAATTTTGTGAGGCCACATGGAAAAGGCTCGGATGAGCTTTTCAAAGTTCTACAAGTTGTACCTCCATCGCTTGTGTCCAGATCACACGCTGCACAGCCGTGCTGCTCCGTCTTTTTCACCGACGTTTACGTGTTTGCGCGCGAGCAGTGTGAGCGGCTCACGAGCGATTGATGATTGGGAGCTGGTCGTGAGGTGTTAATCACTTCTCGTTACCCCACGTATACTACACGATGAAGGCCAAAATCGGTCCGAGCACTCAAAAATCGGCTCAAAATGGGCCTAAAACCGCACAGTGTGAGCCCAGCATTAGAGCAGCAATGTTTGTTCCCCTCAGAGAAAGGGAAGAATGGGAAAAGGAAAACACCTGGCTGGAAAAAGTTAATATGGGCATGTGCAGTGAATATCAGCGCTATGTGGCCAGAAGTGTGATAATATAATTTATTTTGTGTAATAAACAACTGCAAGGATAGATGATTACAACAAATAGATGACTAATACATAAAAGTAATACACAGATGAATAATGATGATGAGTTAAGGTGCGTAATCATGGGAACAAGCGGGTTTTCAAACGGGAGCAGCTGATTAGCATTAGAAAAGCTGAAATAATACCTCAGCTGAAGCCAATTGTACTAAATGCACTAAATGTGCACTGTTACAAGAATATTTTTCTTTCTATTGTTTTCTATTATTTTAAGTTAAGCAGGACAGAGTTCTTTTAAAGAAAGATTTACTTATATTCTCAAAAGTTAAGCATGACAGGCTTCTGTTTAAGAAAGAGACCTGTTTTACTGTGTTAATGTTGTCATTTTGAGCTAAAAATAAATGGCTAAATGATCATTTGTTTCACATGTGTTCATATCACAAAGAATACACATCTACTTAAATCAAATTCAAGTCAAAGGGTTAAAAAAAATAATTTCACACACAAAAAAAGAGCTAGAAAATTCACCACACTGGGAAGGGTGAAGACAACTGGGTCGCCCGGCCCTGGCCACGAGGTGTCCCTTATTTATTTTTCAGGGAGTTGGCAACCCTAAACGTATCTGAATTAAGTTTGCGCGAATTAAAAGTGACAAACAGCTTTACCGACACAGCGCGGCGATTCCAGTTGTTATGTCACAAAGTGATCGTCGTGGACGCTTGTTCATCATCAGCGCTCATGTCTTTACCTTTTTCCTCTTTTAAAAGTATGGACTGAAGATCGGCGTGCTCACCTGCAGCTGTGCGGGGGGTTTGCGCAGTACGGGGAGAGTCAGCCTGCATGTGTTTTTATAAATTGCGCACTGTGGGCATTTTATAAAGTCTATAGGAAGCCGGGACGTGGTCGGTATGGAAGGGGGTGGGGCACTGTGAGACAGACATGCCAATGTGCACGTGAAATGCACAGAGCCCCACGTTTAGGAGGAATGGGCTCGTCCGCTATATGTGCGCTCGTATTTAGCGCTGGAACATTTTGTCTTTGCGATTTATGGATTTGTTTTATGTAACAGCAAAACAGACTGTAGGTACCCGGACATGCCATGTGTAGCATACGCTTCGGGGTATTTTTAGGTTTGAACACTAAACAAACGGAGAGGCTGTAGTAATATATAGGCTGGCTGGTATTAAATTTGTGAAGTAAAGCATAAAAATGTCTATATGCTCAACATCCCTCATATTTAAATTATTTTTGAAAGAACAAAAAATATGACTTTGTAGATTTTTTAAGTGTTTGTTGTCCATACCGTATATGACATTTGCAAAATGTTTAGAAATCAGACTGACATAAAGTTGTTTTGATTGTTTAATGACAGTCATCTTCACTACATGCTGGTTTCATTGCATGTTTTTGTCAGATTAAAACATCTACTTCAGCTTTTGTGACCAGTGTGAAATTTGCTTTTTTGGCAGTGAGAATCTGAACAAGTTTGGATTAAAAGTTTCTTTTTGACTCTGAACAATCACATTGATATCAGGTCAAACACTTAAAAGATCTCTAAACTGGGTACTTTTTGCCATGTAGGTGGACTGAAAATGTAGGTGCTTTTGTTGACATTATGGGTGAAAAATGACCTAAAACACTACAAATGAGGGCATTCAGGAGAGTCATCATATCTAATTTTGATGGCCTTATATCTTGTCACATGAAATATGCATAACCCTTAGAAGAATGTTGGAAACATTTTAGAGATAAGTTGTCTTGATTTGTCTTCATCTGGTACTCAGTGTTTCTCAAACTATAGAGCAGGCCCTACAGAGCCGCTGTAGGTTTTATATGGAGTGATATGAAGTCAAATGAATATGACTTTTGAAGAAACTTTTACCAAAAAAGGTGGAGGGGTGCTGATGTTGCTGTGCAGACAGATTTATTCTTTCTTTTTTTTTGCATTAATGATGGATGGAAATTTGGGGGTTTGGGGACTGAATGCTTTTCTGTGTTTGAAGTGGGACATACAGGAAAACCTTTGAAAACCACTGAGGTAGAGAAGGGAAATAAGTCTGATGAGATAATTAGTTCAGAACTAAATCAGCTTTAACATGAAAGCCTGTCTTTTACTGACTGTAGTTAATCACTGAGTCGTTTTGGTTAACACAGTCGTATATTTTTTTATGTTACATTATTTTACAATAATGTCATTATTTCACATTATTGGACATAATTAAACTGTAACTTTCTTTCTGTTATGTTAGTGTTTGCAGTGTAGAAGGTGATAAAGTTAAGAAGGATTCAGTTGCATTTGGATTTGAACCAGTGATTTGAATAAATGACCTCCTGTGCGAGGTGGCTGGGGTCACGAGCATTCCCTACCTGGGAGAGAAAGCACACGTCGAGTTACCATGTAATTTAAATCAGTAAGCTATTAATTTACTTCAGCTGCAGGAAAACTTCATTCTCCAACTTTTTGTGTCATATGTGCTCTGGAGCAGAAAAATTGTGTGCTTATCTCATTAAATTTGATTTATAACTTTAAAATGCTGCGGCATGGTTAAATATACCTGTGGTTTCCATTGTGTTATTAATCATCTTCAGTTGCAGTTTAATAAGTGTCGCCCTCTTGTCTAACCCCTTATCTTAGGTGATTTGTTGCTGCCCACTGACATAGTTTTCAAGGCATCGTCCAGGCATTAACACAGGAGTGACATAACAGTTAAGTGATGTGACATATGTGGTTACCTAACAGTGTAGGGAGGCCATTATATATATGACCACATATGATCCCAACAAGCAGATGGAGGGTTTTTCCCTGCATTAACACATTCATTGTATTTTATCTGCTGAAAACAATTTTGTATATTTGGTGATAAACAAGCAAACTACCAAAGGAGACGTAATTAAGAGATAACTAATGGACTTCTTATTGTTGGCCTGGCTTCCTGCAGATCCATGTGGTTTACAGTGCACACTGTCGTTTTGTGGTATCTAACCTACAGTGGCTTGCAAAAGTATTCTGAACAGCCACAAACATGAATCAATTTTATTGGAATTCCTCGTGAAAGAGGTGTACACGTGAGAAGTAGAACAAAAATCATACATGATTCCAAACATTTTTTACAAATAAATAACTGCAAAGTGGGGTGTGCGTAATTACTCAGCCCCCTGAGTCAATAATAATAATAATAATAATAATAATAATAATAATAATAATAATAATCAGATGAGGTGGACAGCGTTTGTGAACAGCAGTTTTCAGATCTTGCCACAGATTCTCGATTAGATTTAGATCTGGACTTTGACTGGGCCGTTCTAACACATGGATATGTTTTGTTTTAAACCACTCCATTGTTGCCCTGGCTTTATGTTTAGGGTCATTGTCCTGCTGGAAGGTGAACCTCCGCCCCAGTCTCAAGTCTTTTGCAGACTCCAAGAGGTTTTCTTCCAAGATCACCCTGTATTTGGCTCCATCCATCTTCTCATCAACTCTGACCAGCTTCCCTGTCCCTGCTGAAGAGAAGCACCTGCTGAAGAGATGCTGCCACCACCATATTTGACAGTGGGGATAGTGTGTTCAGAGTGATGTGCAGTGTTAGTTTTCTGCCAAACATAGCGTTTTGCATTTTGGCCAAAAAGTTCCATTTTGGTCTCATCTGACCAGAGCACCTTCTTCCACATGTTTGCTGTGTCCCCCACATGGCTTGTGGCAAACTGCAAACGGGACTTCTTATGGTTTTCTGTTAACAATGGCTTCCTTCTTGCCAGTCTTCCATAAAGGCCAACTTTGTGCAGTGCACGACTAATAGTTGTCCTATGGACAGATTCCCCCACCTGAGCTGTAGATCTCTGCAGCTCGTCCAGAGTCACCATGGGCCTCTTGCCTGCATTTCTGATCAGCGCTCTCCTTGTTCGGCCTGTGAGTTTAGGTGGACGGCCTTGTCTTGGTAGGTTTACAGTTGTGCTATACTCCTTCCATTTATGAATGATCGCTTGAACAGTGCTCCGTGGGATGTTCAAGGCTTGGGAAATCTTTTTGTAGCCTAAGCCTGCTTTAAATTTCTCAATAACTTAATCCCTGACCTGTCTGGTGTGTTCTTTGGCCTTCATGGTGGTGTTGCTCCCAATATTCTCTTAGACAACCTCTGAGGCCGTCACAGAGCAGCTGTATTTGTACTGACATTAGATTACACACAGGTGCACCCTATTTAGTCATTAGCACTCATCAGGCAATGTCTATGGGCAACTGACTGCACTCAGACCAAAGGGGGCTGAATAATTACGCACACCCCACTTTGCAGTTATATATTTGTAAAAAATGTTTGGAATCATGTATGATTTTCGTTCCACTTCTCACATGTGCACCACTTTGTATTGGTCTTTCACGTGGAATTCCAATTCCAATGAAATTGATTCATGTTTGTGGCTGAAATGTGACAAAATGTGGGAAAGTTCAAGGGGGCCAAATACTTTTGCAAGTCACTGTAACACAGCATATCTCTTTAGAGAAGATGCATGGCATAAACATTAATACACCGCATAGGATGTAGATGAGCAGCCTTCCATTTTCCATGAAAACATCTGTCTCTCAGATCAAAAGCCAGTATTTTGTACAGATTTGTATTCAACAATGAATACTGAGCATTACTCTGAAAAGTGTGGTAATCCTGTTACAAATATTTTTGTAATAATTGAAACTAATAAAATCAACTGTACTTTTGCCTTGCTCTATATTGCTTGTTGAGAATGAAAGAAAGAAAAAGAAAGAAAGATTAAACCTGCACCATATCTGAATATTATTATCATTTGCTGCTTTGTCTGTATAGAAGCACTAATACACTAGCCTAAAAAAAGGGATGACATCCTCAGAGATACGTCAGCACCCTCAATAATGCGTCATGTTTGACCGAGTTTCAGGAGCTGTATAGGCCAAAGGAGAGGGAGACCCCCGCAGGAACAACGATATGCACCTCATCTCTCTGTGGTGATGTGGCACTGACTCCTGCTGGTGCTATGGAGCAAAGACAGTGATGAGGATATCCAGAGGTGTAAACCCCTGAAGCATCAACATCCAGTAGTTATGTTATGTAAAATATTCCAATTGAAGTGAAAATTAAAACTCACTCCAATACAAAATGTGGAAGAGCAAAGAACAAGCTAAAAACAAACAAAATTAAAAAGGTACTTTTAAGGTTGAAGGTAAATGGAATAATTTCATAAATGAATCTGTGACTATACACTGATTATTTTTGTTTATTGGACTTAAGTGGCAAATTTTGTATTCTTTAAGTTCATGTAGTTTTTAGGTGACAGTAATATAGTTGTGTTTAAGGTGGTGATCAAATGTGGCATTTAGTGTATAGCTTTAAGGCGTTGCAGGCTTTTGTGAGATAACTTCCACTTGAATAAAATATTTTTCTAGCGCTCTACATTAATGATTGCTCAAGTTACCAATAAACATTTACACGTCACACTTTGCGTATTTTAATGGTTAATGCAATGAGATCACCTTGTCTTAAGGTTTATTTTTTCTCTCATTATAGTGCTAACAAGTTTAAATATACCCAAAACAGGTACAAAAAAAACACTAGCAGCTGCTTAAAATTTCATTTACATGACAACCTTAAATAAATATTTAAAGCCTTTAAGTGCCAGTCCTTGGGTGATAATTTAGTAACAATTTATATTAAATTACAAATTATACCAGTAACATTTCCACATAGAGAAGTGTGAAAATTAACTAGCCTGTTGAAAATAGAAAGCCAAGCCTAACAGCAATACCCAAGCAGTCACAAGTAGGGACGAGACCCCATGGATGTAAACTAAAATGGATGTCCTGCCAAAATGGTGGAGCCTGCAGTTTGTTTATGATGAAACCTTTTCAAGGTCGCTGCATCACCTTTTCAAACGTCGTGTCGCAGCATTTCCATTTTTCTGCTCCTTCATCGAGGATTTCCATTTCAACAGTGACCCCAAAAAGGACATTTTGAAAATTTTTATTCAAGAACATTAAGATCAACCATTGGAGTCAGAAAAGCAGAAAACAGAAACATAACTTAACAGAAGTTTTTATCAGATGACTGGGTTCACATCAGCCATTTTTTTGGGACGCATCAAACTTAAACATTTTTTTTGACCTAATAACAGTATTCTTTTTTTTGTCTGTGGCATTTTACATCAACATACAATGTTTTTAAAACATTTGGAAAGCAATAATTTTATTAGTTCAACATTAAACTACAAGGAGATAAGCGGCAAATTCATATTCTCCTGCAAGATTTTATGCTTTAGCTGCCTTATGTTTACAATTAGATTCAAAATCCAACTTGTTGGAAAAGCTGTTACATCTGTTGTTTAGAAGTTTAAAACAAATCTGGATTAGACAAACTAAAAAAATGCCACGACTACAGGATATGGACGGTATCCGTTTTTAAAATTGATATAAAATGGATATGAATGTGAAAACAAAATTTTGTTACATCAAGTGCAAGCCAAAAACAAAACTATAAATGACATTTGTAATATAAAACTTGGTAAAAAATACTTATTTAAAACTGTACAATCACCAAGTACACAGAGTGAGCACATCAACCACTATTCATTTGGCTTCAGTGGCTTCAGCCTTGGGCTCCTGCGGACAGAAAAACAAAAAACACGCCAACAGCAATGTCAACTGCATTGTTTTAGTCACATGACAACTTATTCTTAATTTTATTGATTATATTAAAAGGAGTCCTTGCAACACTTATCCATTATGAGAACAAATAAAACAGTAACTGCCTCACAGGTTTCCAGAACTCACACACATCATTTTTTTAATATCTAGTTCTTTTTTTACTCATTTAATCTTTAAACTCATGAACAATTAAAGCAAATAAGTTAAGATAACATAAAAAAGGAGAAACGACCTGGAAAATATAAGAACATCTGTTTGATGTAACATTTATTAATTTGCAGTGTAACAGAAACAAACCTCAGCCTTGGTGCTCCCATTCTCAGCGGGTTTGGCTTTCTTTGTTTTGGGTGCCCTCTAGAAAATAAAATGATAGTAACAAATTAATCACAGAAATTAATCAAGCAAACATGTGGCAAACATCTTACAGAGCTGTTCCCCCATAGTAAGCGTGCAAGATTTTGGTTCAATACCTTTGCAACAGCCTTTTTCTTAGCCTCCACTGCCGCAGGTTTCGGTTTCTACAAGACAAGAAAGAAGACATTTAAATCAGTTTGAGATAACAGAATATAGATCCGTGAAATCCTAGGTAATAAAAGCTTATTACAAGTTAATAAACTTCTTGATCATGGGCTACATCCTCATGTCACATTAGGTAAGAGTGTAAGAGAACCTTTAATATATTCTTAAAAAATGTAAAATTAAAATTTAATACACACATGATAGACTACTTCAATTTCAAGTGGTTGCTTCTTACAAAAAATAGTGAACATTTAACAAAAACGACAGGATAATGCACATTAAATATACAGAGTACATCTAAAAATGCTTAATTGTGTTTAAAAAGAACTTACTAATGCCAGCCGTGCAGAGGTTCTCTTAGGCTGTAGAGCCACAAGGAAGTGAAAGTTAAAACAAACAGTGTCTTATTTTGCATCAATATTAATAGCTTTGTTTATACATGACCTTTAAAGAGTATGCAATTGCAAAAAGTAAGTTGAAACAAAAGCAAAAAAAAGAGATGAAAATGGGAGTAGAGTTTGAATAAATATATTAACTAAGTACAACACTCATCATCCTAAATAAGGGCACAAAATATATTATATCAGTGGCAAAAAACATACAAACGATACATCAAAAACAAGCATTTATCCACAAATTCTAAATGCAACTGCTGCATCAACACAATATAAAAATATATTCATTTTAGACAAACCTCAGAGGAAGCAGGTGCCTGTAAGACAAGGAATGGGAAAACATTACAAACTGAAAAGTAAAACTACATAATAATAATAATAAATACAGATTTAAATAGCACAAAACTTTTTTTTATTTTCTGTGTGCACTATTTTACATTGTTTTAATATAAAAATGTTCACAGAAGATCTAATATATATGTTAAATTTTTTTAACACTGCTCTTGATTTTTCAAGTTCACAAAGAGCTTTCCCGCGCATATTTGAATTCAAATTTGGGCAGTCCTGTCACCATGACACCGCCTTGGCGCCCTGACAGCTTCCTTTGTTTTGTATCAGTGCGCGCCTACAGACAGCTGTTGGGAAACTGATAAGATTACTACTTTACTAATCTGTACCTACGACAAATGGAGCTCAACGAATGCCTGGAGAGGTTTCAAGGAAGAAAAAAAAAAAAAAAAAAAAATCACGGATGAGACTGAGATTTTCATCGAAAAACACCCCAAACAATCCTGTTGTGATAATTTAATTTTAAATCGTTAAATATGCATTTTTTTAATAGTATGGCCACTCACTGCACCTTAAATTAATGTGTTGAAAATACGATAAAACGCACACAAATGTGCAAAAAAAAAAATTCTTATTTTTGTATTTATACGTTTTTTCCTGCTGCGCACTTGCAAACTGCAATCCAATCGCGTTTGACGTTTTTAATAAATATTTACTACTGTTAACAAACCCATTTCAAACGACGATGCAAGAACCAGGCTGGCACATATTATTCAAAACCTGAGCGGAAAAAAATAATAATCGCCACCTCCCCTCCCCCAACTCCTTCCTCAAATTTGCAGCCTGCGTTCGAGCTTATTTTGATTGCTTGATAACGGCGCAGTTCATATTTATCTTCATTAATTCGGATCCCAAGTTATGCATTCAAGCATCGACGCGCAGGTTGAGAAAAAGAATAAAGAAAAACAGTCATTGTCCATATCGAAAGTTTGTTACTGCGTTTACAACAGCAAGATTTGTGCCCTGCCTACTGCCAAAGAGAGGGGGGGAAAAAAGATGGTGTCAGAAATTTTGCACAACGCAATGTCAACGGCTGGACTAACCAGAGTTTGGCGCTGGAAGACAAAAAATTTACAAAAATACACGCAACTGTGCGCGTTTAACTCATAAGAATAATTTAAAACCATGAGCAAAAATTTCAACTTTTGTTTTCGACGAGTGGGAGGATGCTTGCGCTCCTCTCCACTGTCAGACCGCCATTGCTAAAACGCTTGTTAGGGATGATGACGTTCTTCTTAAGCAGAAATATCAGGCGCAGTCTTGTGTTAACTTAATGCTACGAAAACGATTCCAGTGCACAGACTTAAATTAAATTTAAATTCATGTTTTTTTTTTACCTTTGCTTTGCCCATGTTCTCAGCGGGAAACGAAGAAAAACGTCAGGAAAATACAGCTGCGAAAATGGCTTTTTTCGAAGCGATAACAGACGCCAACCAAGCGCGCACAGCGGAAAATGGCGAATGTATAATGCAAACGAATGTTCTTGTAGTTTATACACTGAAATATAAGAACGAAACCGGTTTGAACCAGTTTTGTGTTTCGAATCTCGCCATTGGATAGAAAGGCGTCACGTGGGTTGGAGGCGCCTCCCATTTGTTAAAAAGGCAGACGGCAACTTGAAGGAATACGGATTATAGTCGCGGGGTGGCGCTGTATGAACGACTGATTCGTTCTGCTGTACCGAAAAAATAAATACGCAGATAATGGCGCGTCAAAGTCGTTGCACCTTTTCTCACCGTCTATCGGATAAACTGAACAATTTTTGCTCACAAAGTCCGCCAGATCCAAATTTTATGGTGTATCTAATATCCCCGCGTTGCAACTGACCAATCACGTTGTTTGATGTCATAGCTTTGAGGCAAAATACGGTCGCGGGTGAAGATTAGACTATGGTGCTTTCTGTCAGCTTGTGGTGGATGAATGTCTATTTGGCTTGGGCATGTAAGACTGTAATTTTAGCCCTGTGTAAAACCAAAAATCAACATTTAGTCATTATTATTATTACCTGAGGGATTGAGGGTCAAACCAAGCGTTGTGTGAAGAAATACTAATACAGACATATACAATTTGTAACTGGTAGATGTTTAGTGGATTTTAAGCTATCTGACTATATATTAAATAGCTAAAAGTAGGATACCTATTCAACACTAAAATACTGTTCACATGTCTGTGCATTAGTAGTAATATTCCAGAATATTCCAGGACTGTATGCCTGATGAGTATAAATTCATGCTTATACCTATGTATGTGTATATAAGCATATTTTTGTGGGGCAGTATGTTTATAGTATGGTGTTTCTAGTTCTACCAAAGTTTATCAATTCTTCTGTCAGTGTATAGATGATGCAAGTTAAATAAAATTGGTTCCTAGAAGTGTTTCCTCTGGAGGGACAAGATCCAAATATGATGATTTTATGAAGAGATGTCTTGCATTTGAGTTTGTGATTTAAAGACTGAGGACTTCTTGGATAAAATTGGGACATTTTTTCTTCAATTTTTTCCCAAATAAACAAAACCCAACAAACATCCAGCTGGAAAAAGTAAAAGTGGTTCTTTGCTTGCGTTATACCACCAACTGAGATGCAGAATAGCAATTACAAGCAGTTATTTAAATTTTTGCAATACATAGCGTATTAGTAGTTGATAAGCTTTAAGGCTCAATACTTCCAACAGGTAGCAGCAGAAATTATATCGGTACAGTTTTATGTGCTGAAAGTCATCTACTTGCAAAAACGACTCGTTAATCCAATAAAACACCATCACCAGTTTTCCCCCTGAGAGTCCATATATATCAGCAGCATGGACCACACACATATTTTATGCTGCACAAGTTAAGACAATAGATAACCATATTTTGGAAGCCAAATGGAGACAAAAGCTTAGACTTGTAGTATGTAAGTACAAAACAGAGAATTTCACATCATTTAATCATATCTGACATACAGTAATCATTTTATTTTGTTCCAGAAAGCTGGTCAAAATATAGTTATGTAATCAAAATCACAGTCAACAAACAACACTTTATGCTTCAACAACAATTTAAAAGTTCTGTGGACGAATGTTTTGGAACCGAAACACAGGATCCGTGGCTTTCACTCACATAAAATGACCTTCCGTTCAACGGCATGCATTTAACTGACAGTTTATACGATGATTTAACTACATCTTGACCAGTCATTTCCACCTATTAGAGTTTTTAAATCTACAATCATAAATAGCAGGATTATTCTACAGCCCCATAGGGGTAAAACTGCCCTCTTATATGAATCAGCAACAAAATAAAACCGCTCCCAGTTACTGCTTGCTCTTCCCTTTTCCACAGAAGCCCTTTTGGGAAGAGGACATAGGAGAGGCTTCGTCCCCGCTTCAGAAGATTTGTTCTTCTATGTATTCTTAGGCCAACAAGGATTCACTGCATAAGTCAGAAAAGAAAGAGTCTCTTTTGTGCTTCAGTGCTTCTAGGAAGTCTCGAACTCGTTCTTCCCGGCAGGAAGTGTAGTGTAGTAGCGCCTCTTGTCTTCTCTGGCTATCGACGGGCTTTCCATTGCTGTGATGCTGCAAGAGCTCTGCTACACAAGCACGATCTGCTTCTAGCTGCTGCAGAGCCTGATGCTCTCGATGGAGGTCTCTAGCTTTCTGTAATAACAAACACACCAAATTAGACATACATTTAAATATATACATAGATACAGGAGTTACTTTAATCTTTCTCTGCCTGTTTAACAACACAGTTTCACAAAGTAACACTGATCTACATTAATTGCTACGGTTAACAAGTGATGAACCTGCAACTCACACAGCCAAAACATAAGCCCTTTTCAGATATGGGATGCATAACACAGCTGCTTATTGCTGCTTATGATTCTCCAAAACAACTAACCAAGTGCCAGCGTGTCACAATCTAGTATACTCATAGTGCTTGTCCAAAAGCTCTGATAAATGGAGGGTTTCATCAGAAAAATTGCAACCTCTGTGCCAAATCAAACATGGGGATCTTTCCATTGTAGTGATCCCTTTGGGGTGGGTGGAGCAGCTGGAAGTTCTGTTCCAAAGAACTCACAAAAATGCAGGGAAGACATGCACCGTATCCATGCCCCGTGTCTCACTTGCTTCCCTGTGTTTGCACTTATACTTGAACATATTTGCCAACAAGTCCATACACCTCTTTAAGCCACTGATACTGACACATTTATTCCTATTAAGTTAAATAAATATTTGTTCTCTTTATTCTTCTTTGCTGCGGCCTTTGAGTCAGTCATAACAGCGACCAGGGTGCAACATGGAGCTGACACAGTCAGCTGCCATCACATTAATGAAAAGCAGAGCATGGCCGACAGTGGGTGACAGGGGTCATAACTACAGTAATACCCAAACAGCTAAGTCCAATTAGGTTCAAAACCAAAAGAGCGGTATGGTTCAGTTATATTAGACATCTGAAAGTACATTTTTGTGCTGCTTCTAAATAATATTATTCTAGTTATACAGGACCTTTAGTCACATTTAGATCCTTCCCAGCAAGGAAATAAAGGAGGCCAAAAATAACAAACATGATGACCCCAAAAACACACCGTATTCTTCGACTGCCTCACTCTACACAGCCCTTCCAACTCTGGGGACAAAAAGCTATGGAGTATTCAAACTAAACACGAAAAACTGACACATACTGTTGAGACTGCACTTCTTTTTTCTTATAGTGAGTTTCACTGATCTAGCCTACTTCGGATCAAAGTGGGCTGTATGTGGCCCACAATGTAAAATGAGTTTGACATCCCTGGTCTAAACAAATAAACTCCTTTCTCATGTTCGTTCCCTCTTTCTTACGTGCACACATGCTTTTGAAAATCACTCTGGGAGAGCACATTTGTTTAACTGGGGCAGTTCTTGGAAGCTGTGACTCAGGGTTCCCTCACATTATAGATTCATCACTAAATGCAGATTTTCATGGAGATAGCTTTAATTGGGAAAAGACTGAAATTCCATGAGTGAACCTGAACTAGTTACTTAACCTAACATGAGTGATGACTCTTGTCAAATGCGCTCGGACACACCGCGTGGCTCACACAGTGTGAGTAAACCCTAATTCTGTCTCAGTATTATCCTTACCTGGATGGATTTGTGATTTAATTGATACTGCAGAATGGCTTCACACAGGTTCCAGAATGAGTACTCTGGCCACAGAACGGACTGAAATACTAGGCAGGAGTGAGAGGTCTGCAGAAAGAGCACACACGAAAACCAATACAAGTTTACAGGGTATCTGAGAAAAAACTGGAAGAACAAAATAAAGCTTTTACAATTTGTGCTGTAACCCAGTCATTAGGTTAATACTGTCTTTCAGTGATTGCACGCCCAAACTGGAAGGGAGACTTGTCACAGGCTTTAAGGAATGTAGAAAGAAAATCTTACGTGCAAATAAATCACTAAAGATATATATAGAAAGATAAGTCAGAGGAGATACAAAGAATTCTTTCGGAGTCTGTTTCAGCTGTTCAAGACTATTTTTTTCTTGTAAAACCCAAGTACTTACCATCCCTGATGGTCACTAGATAAAAACACTGATAGTGAATTAAATATAAACTGTAACTGTACTCATACAATGAAACACTCATCACAGATTGGTTTCTTTTGGCATCAGACAGTTTTGCTGGATTATTTTCACAGACAGCTTTGAAGGTTAACATCATGAATGACCAATACATCCTGCAAAACAAGTCCAACCACCAGTGTTACTCTGTTCTTAATTCACAAAAAAACATTACTCATCAAGCCCTTTCCTGCGATAAAAGGGGTTGGAATAAAACACACATGTTTATTAAAAGGCCAGAAATTAAATAAAGTAGTACATCTCAATACTTGAGCAGTATTCAGATTTTCGTTTGGAGCCAGGAAAAACCCTGCTCCTAAATCATCATGATCCCTAAAGACTCAACCAAGCATAAATCGAAATCCTACTTTGCTGTTTTCATAGTTTCATAGAAAAACAGCCCCATCTTCAGGGGTAAATCAATTCAAGTTTATATATGCAGCACCAGCTGGCAACAACAGTCATTTCAATGGGCTTTATATTGCAACATTCTCAAATTGGGGACATCCTGACTGGAATTGTTCAAACAAACAATTCCTATGCAAATTATTGCAAATGACTAATTTGTAAGAACTCTTGAGCATTTGAAATAAAGGCCAGGATGGCCTGTAAGTGGCTAAAACATTTGGATTAAGTGAATGCTTTACAGGTAGTAAGTAACTGCAGTCACCTTAGAGCCCTGTGGTATGGAGCCAAATAAATTGATCATATTTAAAATTTTTAAAATGAATTATAACAACAACACCTCACTGAAGAGCTGAGGGAAGATTGGATAGTTTATATGATGTAAGTGTTAGAGTTGCTTAGAGATCAATAGGAGAGAATCAGTCTAAATGAAGATGAGGTTTGTGGGAAATGCGGTCCCAATCAAAAGTTTAAGACCATTTGAAAAATGGCTAAAATATCATATTTTGCATGGTTGGATCTTAACAAGGTTCCAAGTAGAGCTTCAACATACAACGAGAAGAAATGGGAGTGAGACAAAACATTTTTTTTAAGCATGCAACTAATTGAAAACAGCGATTAAACTGAAACAGGCTGTTTTACAGCTGATCACAAGTTTAGGACCACACCTTCAAAAAAAAACAAAAACAAAAACCACACAACCAAAAAACATAAACTACCTCAAAACAGAAATCAAAGTTCCAAATATGAACTCAGCAATGAGTAGCTTCACCGTTATTATTGATTAATGCAAAAATTTGTTGCGGTATGCTTGATGCAAGCGTTTTCATCCAAAACACCTCTTGTCACGGCAGTAATGTTGGAAACCATCGGGATCATCTTCCACTTGACCTTTGCGTTTCATAACCCTCAGGATCGTTTAAGAAATTCCAAATGACTGTCTTACTGCATCCCACCTTAGCAGCGATGGCGCACTGTGAGAGACCCTGCTTATGCAGTTCAACAACTTGACCACGTTCAAAAAGGGAAAGGGTTCTTTTTGCCTTTGCCATCAGAACGTGACGACAGTGTGACTACCTCACAGAAAATGACAATGAATCCTCATTTTTGCACAGATTTGGCCTTTTAAAGGCATGTGGTCCTAAACTTTTGATCAACTGTAAAACAGCCTGTTTCATTTTAAGCGTTGTTTTCAACCATTTGCATGCTCAAAAAAAAAATGTTGTGTCTCACTCCCATTTCTTCTTGTTGCATATTGAAGCTCTACTTGAAACCTTGTTAAGAACTAACCATGCAAAACATGATTTTTTGCCATTTTTCAAGTGGTATTAAACTTTTGATTGGGACCGTGTATGGTGAACTTTATTAGCTGTTGATGACACCCATCTCACTCTCACCTGCCAAAGAAGGAAGTCGCTGAGGCGCACCTCTCCAGAGGTGCGGATGAGCAAATCAGGATTTGGCGAGTTATTGCTGTACAGACACTCACTTAGCAATGCCTCCGACACATCACTACACATCACAGAAACACAAACAGCTTGTTAACACAATGGCTCTCCAGGACACCTTTCTACAGAGTATTTAACAAAGGATGACAAGATGAACTCATTGCTGTTTCGTTTACCTTCCTTTGATCAGGCCTTGCTCTACTCCCCATGCCATTTCCCTGACTGCATTGGTGATTTCATATCTTGATGTGTAGGCAAAACACACATTGACAAAACACCTACAAAACAAGAATTTGTGGTGCTGTGGTCACTTCTAATGTACAGGATATCATGCACAATGAAAAACACAAGCTACTAAGCATACTTATTGTGATTCCTGGTTGTGAACACGGCTTTGGCAATAAGCTGTTGAAGGTCAAGTGGCAGCATATTCAAGTCGCCCAGCACTCGGATACAAACGCCATGTTTCTCTAGATTTTCACTGCAAAACAAAGCCGAAAGACATTTATAGGAAAAGCATGAAGATGAACAGGATATACAGAAAGACTACTCAGGATCCTGAAACTTGTCTGTCTGCATTTTCTACCCAGAAAAACACAAAGGAGACTCCGGAGAATTTTGAGTACTCAGTGTGTACAGTGGACTTGAAAGAGTCTGCTGTCCAGCACTGTGCAAAAGTGGTTTGTCATAAGGATGTCAATCGTTCGAAAAATAATAACCTTGTATCATAAACAGCCAGCAGCCTCATAAACAAATTTGTCCAAATTTTGATAGACATAATACAACATCCAATAGAAGGGGATTTTTTTTTTTTACAGTGTTAAATTCTTTAGACAGGTTACTCAGATTAAAAAAAAAAAGGAGCAAAACATGGCATTTGAACAAGTGAGCTACTTATACCACAGTCTTGTGTGCAACAAATACAGACTAAAGGGCAATATTAAGCAATGGATTAGTCAGCAAGCTCTTTGTTTTATTTCTCCAAAGTGAAGAAATAAGTCAGCTGTAAAATATTTCATACTTGTGTGGAAACAGAGAGAAATGGCTTGCAGACTAACAGGCCTCCACCTTAGCTTGAAAATGTATCTGCAGCAGTCATCAGCTGCTTAATAAATAAATAGTACATGCACCACAATGACCACAGAGTAAAATGAAAAGAGAATCCACGTTAGTTGACTAGTCTGAGCTTGACATACTGCACTACAGTGAAAAAGTAAGCACTATTGAAGAGACCAGTGGAAATAACAGACTCCCTTGCTTCCTCTTGGCCATCCCACCATTAGCACACTGCATCTGACTCAGTGTCTGATGCATTGCATTAGTAAATGTTTCTGTGTCAACACTGTTGTTGTGTCTGTCTGAACCAAAAGTAACAAACAAACAAATAACAACAGATTTCCATCCAAGCCCACCCTAAAGGTGAACTCCAAGGATCTCGTGCCTCTGCTGGAAACAGGTCGTCAAAACTGGTTTAAAATTGTTTTCTCATGTACAGACCCTCATTTACTTTAACTTCAGATTTATGCTTGAGCGCTGCAAGTCACTCTTTCTAAACTTTACTTTAAGGAAGCAATGAATCATATGATGTACAAACTGTGACCACAAGCAAAGTGGAAAACTCAGCTCGAAACTCACTGTTCCTCCAGCAGCCTTTCAAACTTCTGCCTGGCGAGCTCCATCAAACCATCCACCTCATCTTCGGTGCGCTTGAAGTTCTCAATGCTGAAGGCATACACCGTCACCTCTGGGATGTTCAGATGCTTGCACCAACGTAGTGTCTGGTGTGGAGAAGACGAAGCATTTTGACACACATCATCAATTTGTTTCTGCCCATGTGACATGCATTTCCTATAGCCGAAACCCCCAAACTCACCTCTGCCAGCTTGTTGAAGCCCTGCATGTGTCCTTCCTGCCGTTCCATGTTTTTCTTACGTGCAAAACGTCGATTACCATCCATGATGAAGGCCACATGTTTAGGCATGGGTCCTGCCTGAAAGACAACAGTCAAAAGAGTCCAAAGAAATGCAGAAGAAAAAGCATTAATGCAATCTACGGTAATCCATAAAAGACCAACACTGTCTAATGCTATGTAGATATCTGCTGATATCTTATCACAAAAATGTCACGTACAACTTTTTTTCGAAACATTTCAAATTTAAATAAAATAGCAATTTCCAGATTAAAAAAAAACCCCCTCATCACCATCAACTAATATGTTTGCATTTTGAACGATAACTAATAAGTCATTCCCTGTGGCCCCCTCAGGGGTTACAGACAATAGCACCAGCTCATGCCCCTAGATATTTAATTAAGAACTATTATTATTATTATTATTATTATTATTTGTAAGCTTTTCTTTATGGTATTTTCTGAATCTTAACCTTGTCAAACAAATAAATAAATAGTTTGATGTTTTCTAAATGGCTCAGTTTGTCACTCTATTTTCTATCCAGATACTCTGAAATGACATACTTGATATTTTTGTCAAGGCACACATATTTGGTATACATATATGCATTCGTATAATTCTCAGATTCCCTTTCTTATATATTGCACACCTCTGTTGCTTGTGAAGCCTGCACACAAGAATTTCACTCGTATGCGCTGTACCAGTGTACCAGCACATGTGATGTGACAATAAAAGTGATTTGATTTGAGTCACAGAAAGGCAGAAGACCGACAAAAGCGAGGCTGGAAAAGACAGCCAACTTATAACGTACAGCTTACCTTTAGTATATTGGCAGAAATCTTTTCAAGCAGGGACAACTCGCCTTCTTTTATCCACGACATATCCGTGCTGCCGAAAGACAGAAAGGTTTATTTATAAAAAGGTGGTTGGGGGGGGGAATTCAATGAGCACTCCTACCGCACACACTCCCTCTTCCAGAAGAAAAAAAAAAACTTCACCAAGTTTTAGCTTTCACGAAAGGGAAGGCATCTGGTTCCCACATTAACGTCCCATTTTTAGAAGATATTGCATTACATTTGCAGCCACTTATGGATTTCACCGTTAACTGCAAGCCCGGCTCACGAGACCTGCAGGGAACTAAACCGCCGCGAGACTGGAAAAGGACTGACGGGCGCCCTCGTTGCCCAGGAAACACATACAGTGCTTCATTCATTCAAACTACTGAAGCACGAGCTGTTCTACTCACAAACTGCGATCGTTTATCACATTTCACATACCTTCCAACTCACAGCCTTAACGATGACGACCTCTTCCGTATTGGAGTGAAGTGACGTATGAGCGTGCTGACGACTTCCTGTCAGCAGTTAGTAGATTTTTGAATCATGCGGATGGACGCACGCTACGCTTCAATCAAAGGACTGACTGTGATTTCCTTAACTAAAGGGAAGTGGTCTTCTCAACGTTTACTGAAGTAAAAACACCACAATATGAACTAAGGGATGACAAGTAAATTAAAATCTATTATTTTTAATATCTTTTTAATGTCTTTTTAAAAAAATATTAAATCGAACATAAAAAGCCAAAGACATCAATGGGGTTTGAGAGTGTGTGTGTGTGTGTGTGTGTGGGGGGGGGGGGGGGGGTTGTAATATAATAATCCAATAATAAATAGGAAAAAATCCAACAAACACCTGACACTGGACCTGAGAGATGCACCTTGCCCTTCAGCTGATCCATTTACTGTTCACTGAGACCTCATCAGCAATCGTGTCAGTGGAAGGGTGGCTGTCAAGAAGCCATTCTTAACGAATGGAAACAGTGAGAAAAGGCGGAGGTGTGCCATATTATATAAGAAGTGGACTGAAAATCGATGGAAACAGATGTTATGGAGCGATGAATCCAATTATAAAATGTTTGGTTCAAATTACTGTCAGTACTGAGGAGGTCGTGAGAGCAGTACAACAGTCTGCAGCTATCTGCTGGTGCAGGCTATAGTTTTAGGCTGCATTGCAACCAGTGGTGTTGGGGATCTTGTCAAAATTGATGCAATTATGAATGCAGAAAAGTACTCTCTACTTTTGAGCCACCATGCAGTGTGGGAATATTTTGACAGAGAACAGAACAAAAAGCAGCCAACATCTTAAGAAGAGCTTCAAAATGTCCTTTAAGAAGCTTGGAGAACTATTCCTGAAGTCTACTAAAGAAATTACATGAATATTTGCCTAACAGAGTTCAGGCTGTGTTGGAAAATAAAGGTGGTCCTACCCAATTATAACTATCAGGCTCATAAACCTGTACAAACTCTTCCATTGCCTAAAGGGCTGGATTTCCATGCGTGTGTGCACATTTCAATAAATTGTTGCACTTATTTCACATTTTCATAGAAAAACATACAAATTGAGTGGTGATTCAAGACTTTCATACAATATTACAGATATAATAATACAGCTACATTATTATATTGATCAAGTTAAAAACAAGGTTTTACGTCATTAGTGGAAAAAATATATATTTGAAATGTCAGCATGTTGAATTTCAACTACCCTAAGTGATTTTCATACCTAACCAACTACGTGTGGGACATGAGAAAAAATATAATGTTTTTTTTTAACAGTTTTTTTTAACAGTTTTCCATTATATTTTATAATATAATATATATAAAATATATAAAAATAAAATAATAAAATAAAAAAAAAATAATAATAATAAATATCCATTGTCCCATTTAATTCTTTAGATATTCTCATAAATATATCAACCCTTATTGTAATATTGTATTGTAAGAATTCAAATGTTCAATTCCTTTCATTCATTCCTTTATTTCTAGCCCCTAAAGTTTATTGGAAATGTGCACATTTGTTCTTTTTTCCTGTACAAAATAATCAATGTAGGACTGAAAGAATAAAAACTCCATGGTAATTTATTAAAAAATAAAGTATTCTTTCTCGTGCTTTTACTTCTTCTTCTTTTTTTTCTTTTTTTTTTTTTTTTTTTTTTTTACAAAGGCAAGCCATGAAAGCATTAAAGACTTAGATATAAATATTGGATTAAAGACTTAGATTAAAATATGGTTATTAATGCCTCAAAAAGCAAATATGTAACAGCAATAAAATTTGTAATTACAGATCAATAAATTAATCATTAAGCCCTTTCCTTTACTAAAATAAACATAAACCAAGACAAATGTATAGTTGGCAATACTGATCTGCGACAATTTCTAAAAGAGGATGAAAAAAGACAAGTGAAAGACTTGGTGTTCACATATCAAGCATGTAGGTTGACAAGTTTATCAATTAAGGTTAAATGTTATATTTCAAGATTGCTAATGGCACAACTGCAATAGCTGTTAATGTGAACATGACGAAGCCAAATGGTCCACTTTCTGCTTTGGTTGATGCATGTGATGGAAAGGTCTTGAAGTTGAGAACTCTTTGACTTTCAATCATCTGTTTCATAAAAGAATGTTAGAATAAATGTGTTTCACAATGTTCTTTAACTTCTTTACACCAGCAGATATATAGGTTATTATGGTCTAGGTTGTTATTATAGATAATTTTACTGATCTTCCCCCTTTGAGATTAAACTGATCAAACCCCTGATGTAGCACCTTTAAAATGTACTCAGAATATGTTGGCTGTATTTTTTAAGACGAGTGATCATTAGTTTTAAACCTCAGCGTTGAGCACACAGTCTCTGACACGTGAAACATAATTTGGCTGTATTTGCATATCTGCAGTGTAGTTCCACCTTCGACCTCTGGGGTGTGACAGCAAGTTCGTCAACACTTCCTTCACACTTTCCAATGGCAAAGAAGAAGTTTCAGATTTTTTGAGGGGGGCGAGGGGCTGGCCTTTTTTGTTCCGCTGGAGAGTCCTGCTTGAACGGTGAGCAGGAGCACAACAGAACGGCAAGAAATTACAGCGCTGCGGACCATCGACTAAATCAGAGCACCGGGAAGGATCCCGCTGCGCCGCCGAGGAAGAGTGGTTTGAAATAGGACGGCATCGCCCTGCAGCTGCGCCGTTACTGGCTATAGGGTCAACGGGCAGACGAGCAACTGGCAGCTATCGGCGTTAGCCTTAACTCCTCTGCGGGTCTGGGGGGGTGTCTGGTAGGGGCAGGGGGCGGGGGTACACCGAGAAAGGAGAAGACTGCACGCCGAGAGGAGGGGGCTGGAAGTCTGAGACGCTTCCAGCCTGAAGGGGGCCGGCGGTTTGGCCACAGCACCCCCCGGACTAGCTAGCTTGTACCCGCGCGGCTAAGTGAATGGGATGGAGCCGGGACCGTCTGGCGCTGGTAGGTTTATTTTTACTTAAGTGGTTTTAAATGCAACCAATCCGGGTCTATACTGCGGGCCAAACTGCAGCTGATAAAACTAGACACTGTAGCTTGGCCTTAGCATCGGGGGGGGGATGTACGAGGATGCTTGGTGTCAAGCCTCTCTGTTGCATCGAACGTTTAAAGAAGAGAGGGTGTGAGATGGAGAGGAGCTGTCTTGCTGTCTGCATGCACTGCACTCCATATAAAGCGTTATTATTTGTCCAGATTTATAGCTGCAAATGAGCCTTTTTGGAGTCTGACAATATCCTCAGCCATGCGCGGGGGCAGGGAGGTCGTGGGAATCTTGGTGAGGAGGGACGAGGTGAAGCCCGCCTTCAAGCAGCAGCAGCAGCTGGCTGCACCCGCACGCCCCACGGAACAGACCAGCCTCCCTTTCACTGACAGGTTACGTTTGCTAATATAGTTAAGGTTGTCAAGAGAGAGTTTAGCACAGTGTCCTTAAATGCACACATTAACGACAACCTCGGGCCTACCATCTGCAGCGATAACTGAATTATTTATCTATGTGAAATAAGGAGGAGGGAAAAAGGCTTATCTCCTCTTCCTGTTCGAGATGACATAATCTGCGTTTAGACTGAGAGAAGCATGCAGAGCATTATATTTATGTGTTGCGGTTTGATTCTGTATCTGCAGACAGTGCCAGTCAGATCAGAGATGGGCTTCATTTGGTAGTTTTCTTGTTTGATACTGAGGTGTGGAGACCTGCAATTAAAGCACTCACTGGACTTGACTTTATGCCCAGGTCTAAAGTCTGTTTACTGTGGAACGTCTTGAGTGCCCGGCATTAATAATGCAACCATGCCATGAATGTCTTAAATTTGTTGAAGGCATGGCTTTTATAAAGACTTGTATTTTTAATTGATGCAAAATGTTTTGACATGAACTCGTTAACGATCCCTGAATCCTCTTTGGATATCTTCAGGCTTGTGTTTATGCAAAGCAGGCCCTGATGGTAAAATCACGTCATCATTTCAGATCCTGAACCTTGAAATTAGTTGAATAGGCCTGTTTTAATTTCTTAGGATGCGGGGGGGCTCTCTAGAGGCCCCTTATTTCAACGTCTCCTTTTGTGTTTCAAGTGTGATGATTCAGTTTTCTATTTTGAAAGATTTTTCTGGTTACATTTGGCTCACTGTCAACAGCCAAATACTTGGAGACACACAACTGATTTGGCCAACACAAGTGATGCCTAAATGAATCTTTCTTGTAATTTGTGTACTTGGCTTATAATTTAGCTTATAAGCCAGTATCTTGTATTTTTGGAGCCTAATTGTTCTCTAGTTTTTTAACTTTTTTTGTGTGTATTTGTATAGCATCACCAGCCACACATCTTTGCCATTACCAGCAAACTTAATGTGGAGTTGTTTAAAAAGTTCACATTGAGATCCTTTATTTGTTTTATTTGTTGTCCCGCAAAGGAAGCCAAAACGAAACACACAACAACAACGTGTTATCCCAGGTATGACTTTAAAATAGTCATTCCCATGTGACTTGATGTTATTGCGTATTACGTCATTTAAAGGATTCAAGTAGCGAGTGTCTTCATGTTGTGATGCAGCGCCAAAGCTCCGCTTTAAGTCTTACCGCCCGGGAAAGACTGCTATTGTGTTGGGATATGTGAGAGGGCTGGCTCCGCTTCTCACCATCTGCCTTCACTGGCACGAGGGCGAAGTGTGTGTCATTGTGTGTGCGTGCGCAACAATCAAAACATGGTATAGACACTCACGCATTCACACGCGTACATGCTTTCTTGCACATAAAGTACGTGCGGGCACCACATGTCTGGTGTCTGTGTTTACAGTGCTTGTCAGATGTGTTTTAGGGACTTGTGATTCTACACTTTGATATTCATATGAACACACACACACACACACGGATAGGTGACAGATTAAAGGAAAAACCAGAATACTTGACCCCCTACACTGAGGATATTACGTGGTACAGTTGTGCTGCTGGCATGGTTTGTGAGACATTGAAAATCAATATTGATTTCTTCTAAGATATCATCTTAATCTGTTAATCACTGTCTTGACGACAGTGATCTCTTCCAGGATGACAGTACCTACCTTCCGTAGAGCACAAGGGCTCACTGGATAGTTTAGTGTAAAACTGATGTGAATCATATCCTGAGATTTTTACTTGCAGTCACCAGATCTCACTGAACCCCAAATTGAACACCTACGTCAGACCTGTGTTTGAAGTGTTAGACATTGCTCCACCACAATCATTAAAGGGAATATATTTTGAATGAAAGACGTCTAATCCCTTCACTAATCTTGTTAAACCAATCCAGTGATGTATAAAAGTTCTGATGGTCTAAGATACAATGATTTTTACTTTAATCTGTCATATACCCGCTAAGAAGAGAAAACAGTGTTTTATGGCCATTACTCTTCCGATTCGTTTAGCATGTTCTGAATAGTGAACATGTGATGGAGTGGCTATTTAAAGCAGAGCTTTTCCAGTTGAGGATGCCGACGCCTTGCCATGATGTGGGAACAGTTCAGGACCACAAAGGCCAAGGTCTCTTCAGCATGACCACAGCAGCACCCTGCCTCTTCTCATCTCCTCCAACAGCCATACACATACACGGGTCCCCTGATATCCATGACAATACTGTGTTGCCTTGGTGTCTCCATGGTGAGGCTGGGAATGTACAGGGGGGCCCCCTGTGTTTGTGTGTATGAGTGTGTTCATCGTAGCAAGGGCGCTCCCTCTGTCGTACACCCGTGAATTTGTGTCTGCGAGATGGAGGCGCAGGGCAGCTGGGGTCTTTGTTTTGGTGAAGGAGGGCTGTTCTCTGGGGACCCAGAGGTTAAGGCAGTGGGCCCCTCTCAGGCAGGAGTCACAGCAAGCACCCAGTTTAGGACCCCCTCTATGTTAGACCTCCTGACTTGATGAGACTTTAACTTTGAAACTAGTATGGGCATAATGTATACTGTTAAAAAGACTGCTTCAGGCCTGGAATATACAAGCTGGAGCTAAACTTAACCAACTCGAAAGGAAACTGGACATGTGAAGTGTCTCTTGCACACAGGCAGTAGTTTTATTTTGAAAGTAAAACCCACGACCATTAAGATGCTGGGTGTATTGGTTCAAATCTTACTATAAGTGCAGTGCCCTCCTGGGTAGTGTGTAACTGATGTTAATAAATGTGATCTATGTGTGTAGTAGATGTAGTGAGTGAAGAACAGACAGACATGCTTATAGAAATTTCTTTTATTCTCTTATTATAGAAGAAGAAGCAGATAAAATATGCAAATAGAAAACTGGAAGCTAAGAATAATTGACATTTTTCACTATTTTTTTCTCTTGCAGAATGTCTAAAATCATTGATTCTCAAAATAGCTGCTGTTTATTTCCCCCTTGCTACACTAATCATTTTAGTCACATAATTAATCTCTTTTTCCCCCAATTTAGTACTTTTATTAAATGATATGCATATAGCATCAAATGTGTGTTCACAGTAGGGCTGCCACAAACGATTATTTTGATAGTCGACTAGTCACCGATTATTTATGCGATTAGTCGACTAATCAGATCATCATCCACTGGACGTAAAACTACAGCTTATTGCACCAGCAGCATCTGCTCTTATATAACTATCATTAGCTTACAGCTTTAAGCTTTTAAGGTGCTAACTAAAAATAAAGACAAGATGATAGTTTATTCAATTTTAATGAAATTTGCAGATTGTTTCGGTGAAGTTTAATAAACTCCTTGCTATCTAAAATATAACAGGACACCGGAGTATATTCTCCAGCATCTCACACTTCTGATAATCAGCTGTCTGCTTGACGTTTATTCAGCTGTGTAAAAACTATAACTTTAATCTCAGCCAAAACGATTTACTCAGGAACAAATAAAATACTAAAAAATAAAAAAAAAAAGCCAAACAACAACATTTTTAATTTATCTAAGTGACTCATATATATTTAACCTGAGTAGCGAAAGACGGCGGTGGGTTTGAAAACAATTTGCCGGGAGTCCGGTGTTCTCACCGCGCTAGTGACCTAGCCCCCGGCTAGCTATCGAGCTAGTGGGTAACACGTCTCCGAAAACGTCGGAGCGCTTTTGAAAATATGTGGTGTCCTGATAAACTGAGCCGATATTTGAGGTTTACACAGCTACATTCTCGGCTGAAAATATGTTAAACGTTTATTTTGTGACCCAGAAAGAATAATAAGAGTAATATTAAAACTAACTAGCTGCCGCCATTGTTGGAAACTGAGCTGGGCCGCGCTATGAATTCTGGGACACAGCTTCTTCTTCTTCTTCTTCTTCTTCTTCTTCGGGGTTTAACGGCAGCTGGCATCCTTGTACATGGTGCTGCCATCTTCTGTTTCAGTCCGTTATTACACTCTTAAATCCTGCTACTTATTCCTGCGTCTTTTGGGATCTTACAAAGCTTCAAACGACGCGTCGACTATTAAATCAGTCGTCGACGATTTTGATAGTCGACGTAATCGTGACTAGTCGACAAATCGTGGCAGCCCTAGTTCACAGGGATGCTTCTGAAAAATTTAGACTAACCCAAACCCCCAAAATACAGATTTTTACAATACAGAATTCAGCTAAAAAAAAATCTTAAACATAAAGAAGCTGGATGACTCTGATCCATCTAATTGATTATCATAGTTCATAATTTGCATGGTAACCATGTGATCAGACAACGTGATTTCGTGATAACTGGTGAACAGCAAAATTAAATTAAAATTAATCATATTTTCTTTTACTTAAGGAAATATTTACTAATTTATTCATGTTTTTCTCCCTATTCCCTTTTCTCTTAACCCCCCCACCCACACCCCATATATGACCTCATGTGGCTGCTCTTACTGTTGTTAATGTTCGATCACACCTTGCTGTACATACTTCTGTGTCTCTTTCTTTGCTGCCCCCAAATGCACAATCTGCCTTTTAATATCTTCCTTGTTTATTTTTTTTAACTATCTTCCCTCTACCGGCCTTCCTGTCCCTGCGAGTGACTCTTGTGGTGTTCTCCTTTCCCCTGCCTACGCTTCCTTCCTGGCTCATGCCCTCCTTGCCCTGTCCTCTGCTGTTCACCACTGCTTCCTTTGCCACCCCCTCACAACCGTTGATTCTTTGCTTTACCTTTGGTTTTTTCCTGTGTGTTGCTTTGTATTTGTGCACTTTTCCAACTTCAAACCCTTTTTGCTCTGAACCACATTTTTCCCTGTTACCTGTCTTTGTCTGTGGCTGCCTATGTTGTATCTGTCCAGTGCCCATGGGGGTCTTCCCCCCACCCCTGCAGCAGGTGTTCCATGCCCCTCGCCGGCCAGGCATGGGTACTGTGGGCAAGCCCATCAGGCTGCTGGCCAACTACTTCGAAGTGGAGATCCCAAAGATGGATGTCTATCACTATGAGGTGGACATTAAGCCTGACAAGTGCCCACGACGAGTCAACAGGTAACATATTTCAGTCACAATATTTCTCTGCATTTCTTTTCTTTGATGTCTCACATTAATGGAAAAGATCAGCACTTGTCAGTTCTCATTTGTTATAAGCAAATAACAAAGTTACTAATTTGTAACAGTGGGTTTGCATTGAAGAAGTCATCAAGTAGCTGAATTGCCTCCTGTGTGGTAATTGGATAATGAAAGCCCAACAGCCACCAACCAGTAATGTGTGTGTTGTCTTTGAAGAGGCAGCGATAACAGCTACTTGAAGCATGAAAAATGTATTTCTTTGCAACATCTATTTACGATGATTAATTTGGGGTTCTTGTATTGGAAAAATAATAAAGTGTTGCCAAAGCAACGCTCTTTTAATTTTAACATCACCTTATGTGAGAAAAATCAGTATGGAGTTGTGGTGCATATAAATAGATATCAAGTTAAAAAAAATTGTACCTGTTTGCATGTGTCAGATATTTATATAACTGACAGCACATACATTAACAGGAGGTTGTGCTGCTATGTAAGTCATTTTAACTACAACTCTGAGGAACATGAAGAGCACAAAAAGTAATGCATCTGTGTAAAACTGAGTAAAATATATAATTTACCGTCTTCCCTGGATGGGTTTCAGTTTTATATTAGGCAGAAGACAATTTTCCTTCCTGCAGTAGCTTTACCTTCTTTACCTGCTGGTGACTGGACAGATGGTTGAATCAAAACTGAAACCAACTTGCTTGAGCTGAATGTTGTGCCTCCTGATGCAGCTTAAAGCCAAATGATTGATGCAAACATTGGAAGAATATCACCTGTATAACACCTATTTAAATTGGAGTAACTTAGTTTACTTACAAAGTATTTGTATGCTTTAGTATTTTTCATGAAACCTGTAGTCCCTGTCCATGTTTTTACTGGCCCTGGTTTTAGTTATAACAAAACTAATGTGATTTGTCACATTCATTACTTTAATCCAAGAAATAAAGTGTACATAAAAAATATATATATTTCAAAGTTGAGGAGAGAAGTGTGCTCTTTCTACCTTGCAAACTTTCCATGGCTCAGCAAAGAGCTGCTTCCTGTGAACGGTCTGTCTTGTCTCTGCAAAGAAAAATGTCACAGTATACATATGTTTCATTATGTTTGATCCAGGTGACTTCATTCTTTTCACAAAGGCCTGTTTTTTTGTTGGGGGGGGGTTCACGTTGCATAGCGATCTCTGCTTTTTATACCATCCTCAGATGGTGTCATCTGTCTGACTTTGTGCTGGCTGTCAACAAGATGGGATTGACCTTCACTTTCCACAGTTGTCTTATATGTGGAGTCATACATCAGGGGCTGGTTTAAAGCCTCAATCAAATATATGGCTGTAAATGCCAACAATTTCTAGACTGAAAAACAAATTCACTCCATTGTTACATCAGCCTCTAAAGAGGTCACCTGTGGAGTACTAAGCTACTTGTGATCAGAAAGTAACAAACATAACATCAAACCAACTAAATAAAAGCAAAGCCCAACTGCACTGACTTGACAAAGGGAAACTTGTATGCTGACTGATTATACCAGCTTAGAGAACAGGGACGTTGGGACATTGCACGTTCCAGGTTGCACTTCCTGTATTTAGGAGTGCTGAAGTCACAGGTATGTTTGATTTAACACCAGGTGCCTTTCCTACCATAACCCCAAAGGGGAAATCAACATAGCTTCAACAAAGTCTAAATAAACAGAAGTTATGCAAAGTCAAAGATTGTGTCATCATTTATCTGTTTGTATTTCAATGCATATCACATGTAAAATATGTTGTCCAAGTACTGGTGCGTGAATTCATGTGGCTTCACATGCAGCCATCACACACCCACTCTATAAAAGGTTTTCTGTGTTAAACTGTGACAGCATTGTTGTTGTTGTTTTCAGAGGTGTGTTGAACTTTGAACTAGAATGGTTGTGTGGCAGACTTCACCAAGTCATCTCTACACTCGTGCCTTTCATCTTGTCTAGTTAGTATAGTGCTTTATGATCACTGTTAGCATTTAAAATGAATGATAGAATTAGGAGAAGTTTGAGTGAAGCATTTCAGCAACATAAAGACAGGAAAAGGGAGTAAAGTTCAGTGCTAGAAGCTTCATAAAAAGGACTTTCACATGGATTACTAGACTTCCTGGGTTGTGCATGCAAGTCTGCATTACAGAAATGCAAGGTACAGAGAGCTTGAAAATGCCCATTTGTACATGTAACTAGCACCTTTCACAGCAACAATAAAGCTTTGTAGTAGTTTCAAGAAATCATGGGAGGACTGGCAGATAAGCAGAAGCTACAGGGATAAACCAATTGTTCCCATCTCCAATCAGATAGAGCTGTTCTTCCACTTTTTATAGTCAGATGAATCATCAACATTTATATGAAAACTGGCACCTCTAGCATTACCAGTCAGCAGGTATATGATGGGGGAAAAAAAACCCCTGTCCAATCCAATTTTTGGCTCCTAAGAGAATTGTGATTCTCTATAAACTCTGCAGCCGTCTTCTGCTAGGTCTTTACCTTGTTCCTCAAAGAGAGGAGATATGACCTACACAAAAAATAAATATACATAAGAACAAATAGTTAAATATGTAGCCTTCTAAGTTGACCAAAAAAAATTAATGACCCGGATAAGGAAGAGTGGTTGACTTGTCAGGGCGATAAACGTACACAGGTGAGCAATCAACCCAGGTGTTACCCATGGGTCTCAGCGAGCCACTGCACAGATCCCAGCAACTACAAAATAAAAGAAAATGATTTTGGTAAAGGTTTGAGTTATTTGGTACTAACTCAGTTTATGAAGTTCACTATTTAGCGGTGACTTACTTATGTTGTCAGACTGGAAACACTCCACATGCAGGAGTCTTTCCTGGGTTGTGAAGCTAAATGCCTCTGCAGGGTAACACTAACCACTGAGTCACCATGTTTTCCTCATAATAAGCCTCCATCTATCTGACTGAGAAAAAAATATTTTTGCAACTCTCCTTTTAAGGCCTCCATCCCTTTAAGCCACCTTTCTTTTGATTGGCAGGCCCCTTGCAGCAGGTGGGTGGGGCTTCTTTGATCACAGCCACAGCTGTGTGCCGGACATGACCATATTAAGATATCCCCTCTCACTGATGTCACACGGTGCCCAGACTAGAAAAAAACCCCACTGAATTGAATATTTAGAGCAGCCTCAAATCTTTGCTTTTGACTCATAATTACATACACCAAATGTATTATTTGAAACTTTAGCCACGATTAATATGATCAGCCACTACACTAACAATACATATGACAGAAAAATAAGAAAAAGCATCAAAGGTTCACCTAAGTACAGTCTCATACATATGAATTAATTTTGTATGTCTCCTAATAGGAACTTTGGTGATCTCAAACCTAAAATACATTGATAGTTTTTACTTCTGTCTGCTAAAACATAATAGTACCCTCATAAAATGTTTGATTACACAAATGAAATTTTGTTAAAATCCTCAGCACAGGCCGTCTGCGGAACCCGGAAAGAGAGCCCTTGAGCTTTGTTGTCCTTCAATTTAACAAGGTCATGGCCATAAACAGAAATAAATGAAGCAAATTGGTATTTTTTTTTATTAGTGGTAGATCCTCAGAAAATCCAAACTCTAAATGAGGATCCCTGAGCACTGAGTGTTCTAGTACCATCTCCTCTGATATTAAGAGAGGATCTTTTAGAATCAGAAGGAAATGGAGCTCAAACACAAAGGGTCCAAGAAGGCATGCAAGGGTCAAGCCCTTCGACCTTTCCTTTTAGAAAGACCTCCTCATCCCCCACACTTGAGTGAAGGTCAAGGCACCATGCATTCAAAGATAGCCCCACCACCACCACCTGCACCCATGCTCTTTGTCCTTGCTTCTCCCCCTGTGACCACCAGATATTGAACTCACCAGCTGTATCCTGCCTACTCTATATCAATATCTCAATAACTGCACCTCCTCGTGACAAAAGCAGCATCCTGATGAGGGAAGAGGTTTAACTGGCAGAGGGGGATTTGCTCTGGCTTTATTGCACATTAATCTCATGTCATGTTTGCATGTGTTGCTGCTTACAGAGAGGTGGTGGAGTACATGGTGCAGCACTTCAAGCCCCAGCTCTTTGGTGACAGGAAGCCGGTGTACGATGGCAAGAAGAACATCTACACAGTGCTAGCACTTCCTATTGGGAGTGAGAAGGTAAATGTTTGGAGTGTTTTTTTGTGTTACACAGTCACTCAGTGAAGTCTCTCCTAAGCCCTGTTCAGCTGTGATATATTGAGTTTTTTAACAGGAAAGCAAATATTTGAATGACGGTAAAAAGATGCCGTGGTAAAGCAGGATAGGTTGTCCACTAATAGCAGGGTTAGTGGTTCGATTCCTCCTCATCTGTCCGTGGGCATGACCCTGGCTTGATTACCTGAGAGGTTAAAAGTTTCTATAAAACAGCAAAGCATTTAATATGTGTGTATTTGTTGTAATTAGTCATGTTATTTTCTATACTTAAAGGATCTATTTGATTAGGAAATGTGCTTGGTTGCCTTAAGTAAATGAATTAGAAGATATCTGATGTGTAAAGAATAGGGTCAGATCACCTGACTGCCCCTGACGGGCAATTAGAAAAACATCTTTCCAAAAGCATCTCTGGATCTCGTCTGTGGTAATAAGACAGGAAGTCACTGCTCCTTCCCCAAACATAGTCCAGCATTTTTTTTCACTCACTTTTTAACACTGTAATGTGTTATTTAGAGAAATTTAGGATTTTGCACTTCTGGATACAGACAGCCCAGCTACCAAACTGCTTTGTATATTTTTATACTTTCCATACAGGTGTGAGGAATTGTGTCTCCAGCTATTGCCTAGAAAGTAAACTTACATACAACATACAGTCACACCTACAGGTATGGAGACATGCAAAAACTATGCAAAGAAATGTAAACCATACAAGCGCAGGGTTAGTGAAATGTCAGCTTCCAATAATATATTCTGCAGTACCTGAAAAGGGCTACAGTTTACTGCAGAGCTTGAGGATTTCATTTTGTTGCTACAGGTGTGTCTTTATTTCATTTGTTCTTTACCTTTTGCTCTCTCTCTCTCTCTCAGGTAGATTTTGAGGTGACGATTCCTGGCGAGGGAAAGGATCGAATCTTCAAGGTGTCCATCCGTTGGCTGGCCAAGGTGTCATGGCGCCTGCTGCAGGAGACTCTAGTCAGTGGCCGACTGCAGGTCCCCCTTGACTCAGTTCAAGCCCTGGATGTGGCCATGCGTCACCTGGCCTCTATGAGGTCGAGTATATCAAAGTTTCTCTTATAGGTTCATAACAACACACACCAGTATTTACAGTCTGTCAAACAGTCTGTTCACACAGATAATCAGCTATTTCTAAGAGTTTTGTGCATCCTGAAAACATTTAGTAAAATTACAGGGGTTTTTTTCACATAATTTTTTTGTGATATTCTAACTTTACAGCTTAGCGGTGCTTACTGAGTCCTTCCCTCCACAAGCATCAGATCATCATCGCTCCAGGCATCAGAATTACTAAATAAAAGACATGTTAGTTGACACCTGTGTGAAAGTGTCCACTGAACAATGCTAAGCAAAGTAATAATGATAACTGGCTTGAAGACTTAACCTGAAAGTGCTCAAAAGGAAGTCATGAAGCCACAGATATTAGATCAGAGATATAGTATCCAAAGAAAAATAGCCTTTTTCCTTAAACCTCTTGTTTGGGTGTTGCAAGTTTTCTGCTTTTCTTGAGGTGACCTGTTCTGAAACATCCACATCACTAGACATGAACTCATGCTGCGGTCGTGCCCTGAATCAGAACATTGATTTCCACCTCTTCACCCCTTCTGATTAGGTACACACCAGTGGGCCGATCATTTTTCTCCCCACCTGAAGGATACTACCACCCACTTGGTGGGGGAAGGGAAGTTTGGTTTGGCTTCCACCAATCAGTGCGTCCCGCCATGTGGAAGATGATGCTTAACATTGATGGTGAGTCACTGAACACAGGCTCACCAGAGTGTGTAGTCAGCCAGTGATCTCAGTGGGTTTTACCGACATTGTGTGACTAGGCAGAAACATGGAGGGTGGGGGGGTGGGGGGGTATTTTGAAAAGAAAAACTTGTTCTGTGAGAAAAGATGAGCCATGAGTATCTTACAAAAGTTAAGTTATAAATTTACACTGCTGCTTTTGTTTCTATGGCTGTTTGTAACACTCATTTAGCTGTGAAGAAAAAGTGGCAGTCTTCTGAAAGTTACAGATTTTAATAAGAACCTGTTTTTTGGTACTTTCTTCTGACTTATTTCTGCTCTCTGTCTCCCTCTAGTGTCTGCCACGGCTTTCTACAAAGCCCAGCCTGTAATTGAGTTCATGTGTGAGGTTTTGGACATTCGCAACATTGATGAGCAACCCAAAACCCTCACTGACTCACAAAGGGTCCGCTTCACCAAGGAAATTAAAGGTGGGCTACTGAAAAGTGTGGAAGTACCTTCCGAAGAAATAATGAAAGTAAATGGTAAATGGCCTGTATTTGAATAGCGCTTTTACTAGTCCCTAAAGACCCCAAAGCGCTTTACACATCCAGTCACCCACCCATTCACACACACATTCACACACACATTCACACTCTAGAAAGTACTTTGATACTTCTATGCATTTGAAGTATAGACTTGCTGAATACACACAAGCAGATGGGTACACTGTGGTCATACAGAGATGGACATGGTCAGTAAAATGTTCAAGGAGACTAAATTTAGCACAATTTAGTACTAAAGGACCAAATTGTGCTAAAATATTCCCCACACCATTACACTAGCCTGAATCGTTGATAAAGGCAGGATAGATCCATGTTTACATGTTGTTTATGTCAAATCAGAATTTGACATCTATCTAAATGTTGCTGACAATGTTGTTAAAGCTCATTAGACGAGGCAATGTTTTTGCAGTCTTCTATTGTCTGTCCAATGTTGGTGACCCTGTATGAACTGTCGCCTCGTTTTCCTGTTCTTAACTGACAGGAGTAGCTAAGAACAAGAAACCAGGCCCATCTACTATATCAGCCCATTACAGGCCATCTGCTTCATGCTTTGACATTCAAAGATGCTCTTCTGTGTATCTTGGTTGTCTTCCTCTTCTTCTTCCAACCTCCATCTCACCAACCCTCTGAATGTCCTCCTTCCCTGCAGCTCCATCTTCAACACTCTTGTCTCAGTAAATCCATCCCTCTTCTGCACATGTCCAAGCCATCTCAGTCTTTCCTCTCAGCCTTTTTTCATCAAACTGCTTAACATGAGCTGTCCTTCTGATGTACTCATTTGTAATTCTATCATTCCTGGTCACTCCCAGATAAAATCTTAACATCTGCCACCTTCGGCTCGGCCTCCTATCTTTGTTGGCAGTGCCACCATCTCCAAGCAATTCATCACAGCAGGTCACACATTAAGCTCTTCCTTTCCGACACTTTTATTTAATATTTGTGTTGCCCCGCTTACTGTCGGCAGGCCTGAAGGTGGAGGTGACCCATTGTGGCCAAATGAAAAGAAAGTATCGTGTATGCAATGTTACCAGACGTCCTGCCAGCCACCAAACGTAAGACTTTGCTTTTGTTTTTGGCATAAAAAATACACAAATTTATTTCCCAACTTGACAGCGTCTTGCTATTTTATTTTATCCTATTAGAGTAATACATTAGAAAATATTAGGTATTCATCCTTATATTGATGTCACTGGAAGAAAGTACTTTTGCTTAATTTTGCTGAAGTTGTACAAATGCAGCAATCACATGTTGGACCAATCACCAAAATTTGTCCTTGCTTGTTTGGAAAGCAATTAAAACGGTTCTAGAGGAACTAAATTAATCTTAGTTCTTTAGCTTAAATGTAGGTAAATGTTCCTTCCAGGTTTACAGAAGGTTCTTGTTCATCTGTAAAGTTCCTATTGTAGAAATGCTCTATGATAATGGTAAAAAAGTCCCTCCTTATGCATAAACATGTATTTCTAGTATTTCGTTGAAACATTTTTTTAATGCTGAAATAATGATTTTTAATCATGTTTGAAAGAGGAGTGTTTTTCTTTAGAATAAGAAAAACCTGTTATTCTTTCCTCTGTTTATTATGAACGTAATCAAGTAGCTTAAATGGGAAATCTCTTACTGTTTTTGACAGTGAGTGCACCTTTTCAGGTTTGGTCAGAAATAACAGACAGAAACAGACAAAACCTGCAAATGAAGAGCGATCGGGTGATGACACTGACATGATGCTCATGTTCTCATTTTTTCTGTACCAGGTTTCCCCTTCAGCTTGAAAGCGGGCAGACAGTAGAATGTACAGTGGCTCAGTACTTCAAGCAGAAGTACAACTTGCAGCTCAAATACCCCCACCTACCCTGTCTACAGGTGGGGCAGGAGCAGAAACACACCTACCTGCCTCTGGAGGTGAGGAAGTGTTCAGTGATGTTTCAACTATGATGCCAAAAGTTTACCATTTAAAGTAGAGGATGACCAGAATATCGGTTTATCAACACTAGCTCATCATGTCTCTGTCTGTATTTGTGTGTATTAATAACTGGTATTCCTCTAAAACTTTTTTATTGGGGTTTTTAATAGAATCCCAACAAACTGCCCACGTGTACATATGTAAAGAATATTGGCAAATACATCAATATCAGAATACATGTTATTTTTATGTACTCAAAAATCTGCCGACATACCTTCATTTAACCTTCAAGTGACTGAGTGGGATCATCTTTGAGTCTTGAAATAGATGTGTGTTTTTTACTATTAATGTGGGCTTGATTTTATTGTAATTTTGCACTTCTAATCAATAAAATGTCACATTTGGCAATAGACCACGGCTAGTTCTGCTGAAGTAGTAAGATTTACTGCTGCAGAGGCCTTGAGGCATTTACTTAATGCCCAGAGTAGCAAGGCAAACAGGTCATGGGTCATTAATGGACACGAGCTCCTTTTTGTATAACAATGGTATCTGTCTTCGATAAAGAAAACAGTAGATGGATCATAAACGCAACTGGAGACATAAAAAAGTGTTACTGTATAAAATGTAAAGCTTTCACATTACGTTAAATGGCCTATCATTTTAGGCCCTTAAATAGCTTGGCCGTCTGAGGTGTATCGATATATATATCGACATAGAGGGTATTAAAAGATAACACAACCATGCACACAGACTAAAAACCTTCTTTCATTGGGACAGCCAATGTTTACACATTAATGACTGAATGTATTCATTCCAGGTGTGTAATATTGTAGCCGGTCAACGATGCATCAAGAAACTGACAGATAATCAGACCTCAACTATGATTAAAGCCACAGCTCGCTCCGCACCGGACAGGCAAGAAGAGATCAGCAGACTGGTGAGTTGCAGAGGGAAGTGTTTGATGGAGGCCGTGCATCATTTTGAAATGACTGATTTATAGTACAAGGTGGAGACGGTGAGATATAATACAAGTCCTTTACTCTCTACAGATGAAGAATGCCAACTTCAACCTGGACCCGTACATTCAGGAGTTTGGGATCAAGGTGAAGGATGACATGGCCGAGGTGATGGGCAGAGTATTGCCAGCCCCTATTCTGCAGTACGGAGGACGGGTAAGGCACGGTTCATTCGTCAACCTGAACATATCGACTTTTATGTTGTCAAGAATGCAGCCATTTAGTTGTGTGTGTTTCACACAGAGCAGAGTGTTGACAGATTAAAAGACAAGTTTGAAAGCTTGACTCCTTTGGTGAGGGCATGTGGTGGCTCTTTTGTGATCTCTGTGTGATTTGCTTATATGGTTTGGATGAAGGGTTTACTGCAAATCAATACAAAGAGTGATCGCTTTTATCCTATAAAGAGGCGCAGATTAGAGTGATCTCTTTGATGATTATAGGGTAGATGGGTAGAGCACAAGGAGTGATTGAATTATTTGATGTTTATTAGTCTATGTGGATCATATCCCATTTCCCAACTGAATACCGATGCAGGATTTTGAGAATTTCTGAGACAGGGCTTTCCACTTTTGGAAGAATAGTATCCTTTATCTCCAGTCATGCTTCAAGTGGCGCTCACACAGGAAGAGACTCGTTTTGACATGTCGATCACAGACTGAGGAAAATGAGTGAATTTCTGTAACTGACTGTTAGTTTGTTAGTAGACACACTAAGCTCTTGACCTTGGAAACTCTGTTTTTGCTTTAATTTGTCATCTCTCTGTACTTTTGCTATAAATGTGACCTGATTTGGCTTAAACTGTCTCTCCCGGTCCTTTCTTTTTTACAGAACCGTGCCATAGCTACACCCAACCAGGGAGTGTGGGACATGAGAGGGAAGCAGTTTTATAATGGCATTGAGATCAAAGTGTGGGCTATTGCCTGCTTTGCCCCCCAGAAACAGTGCAGAGAAGAGGTGCTCAAGTAAGTACTAATGAGCACAAGCAGATGATTTTGTCGAAGGGGAGGGGGATTAAATAATTTCTGCTCATGGCTGTTTCTTTCATAAGGTTAGTTATTTTTAAATGAGCTTTTGCACAGAAGAAAAACAATCCTTCTCTTATGTTGTTTATTCCTCCTATATGTAATATCCCAAAGACAGAAAATAATAAGTTAAAAACGTTATCTCGGAGATGCTTTATACGCTCATCTGTTTGTTCATTTCAGGAACTTCACAGACCAGCTTCGTAAAATCTCAAAGGATGCTGGGATGCCAATTCAGGGCCAGCCATGCTTCTGTAAATATGCCCAGGGAGCGGACAGCGTGGAGCCCATGTTCAGACACCTGAAAAACACATACTCTGGACTTCAGCTCATCATCGTCATCCTGCCAGGAAAAACTCCTGTCTATGGTAACTTGTATTTGATACATGTGGTTTGCCATAATTTTCTCAAAACAAATGAAATACTGTTGCTCAAAGTAGTCAAAAAACTCCTGAAGCATTTGGTCAAATGGGAGTATTAAAAAGCTCCCAATAAACTAGAATCATGTTTTGTTTTTGTTTTGTCGTGTGAGTAATTTCCAAACTTTTTCCTTTAGCGGAGGTAAAGCGTGTGGGTGACACCCTCCTCGGCATGGCCACGCAATGTGTCCAGGTTAAGAATGTGGTGAAGACGTCGCCGCAGACTCTGTCCAACCTCTGCCTCAAAATCAATGTGAAGCTGGGAGGGATCAACAATATCCTGGTGCCTCACCAACGGTGAGCTTCTGTTTGACCCGTTTTTAATTAGTTGCACATATTTATAGTATCTTGAGTTAGGTGATGAGTGATGCTGACACATAGGTGTAAAGCGCTGACAGTGGTAGTAGACTTGAGTTTTCTATCAAAATCCTGCTGGATGACATGGTGATCGTTTGAATACGTTTCAGTAATATGACTCACCAACAGCAGCCCTTCACTGCCTTTATGAGTCTGTGTAATTTGCATCACCTCCTCCATTTGCTGTCTCAGGTCAGCAGTGTTTCAGCAGCCGGTTATCTTCCTGGGAGCAGATGTCACACACCCCCCGGCTGGAGATGGCAAGAAGCCCTCCATTACTGCTGTAAGTCTCGGAGATTACGCCTTCATAAACGACACTAGATGATTTTAAATACAATCTCAGGAAAAGGAAGGGAATGTGCAACCACGGTGTGTCACAAAGCCTGGCCACTTTTCAAATCTAGGCGTGCAGGTTAAACCCATGGGTGGGCAATACTGGTGTGCTTTTGGCTCTGGTAACTTGTGAACAGCCTTTTTCATTGTTACTGGCTAAAGTTGCTTACTTGATGAAAAGACATTTGAGTTATTTAAAAATGTGAATAAGTATAATGAAGCACTAGTTTTTGTTTGGAGAAAAAATAGACTTTCTAATTAAGCCGATAAGAAATGTTCTAGGTTTAAACTATAGCATTGGTTGTCATTTAGTGTAGATGTAGCAACAAGTCAAAGTCATACACAGAATTAATTGGCATTAATTAACACTATATACCTGCATTTAAGGACAAAGACCTTTAGATAACAAATGGATTTATACTTGGTCTTTATTATTCTTAAAGCCACTGGTTACCTTGTACCATATATATTGACTGTACAGTAGTTGCTAAGTACTCTAGTAGCTAAAAGTCATAAAAAAATGTAAAAATGTTTCTCTGGGATGTGATGGCAATCCAGCTGCTTTGTTGGCTTCGACACTCCTTTTTTTTAGGCAAATCAAAAATAGCAAGGGCATGTAAATAATGCAAATGACCCCGAGATGCCACAGGGAAAAAAAACCCGCACGTTTGTGGTTGCTTGGTGACAGTGGGACTCGATGGCCACTGTGCTCATTAATGCTGGTAAGAGAAGAATACCTCAACATTAGGTAGTAGGTTCAGAATTGAAGAGCTTAAAGCTAACTAGTTTTTACATCATTGGACAAAAGAAAATCTGTAATAACATTTCACTATATTGTAATTTAATTTGAGGAGCCCTTCTGAGGTTTGTTTTGTGGCTTTAGTAAAGTCAAGTCTTTTCAGGCACATGTTCTCACGGTTTGTGGGTTGAAAAAAAGTTTTTATTGAAACAATATGCAACAGCAGCGGGCTTCGAGGTACTTTTTCTCATGTTTGCTCGATGTGTCAGAAGTGTAACTCAGTCAGCGGGGAATTGCAATGTTAAAAAAGGAAGTCCAGATGGTGCATCAGCTGCCATAGGTGCAATGCTTAGGTAACAAAACTAGGTGTTTAAAGTAACCCTATTTTTCTATAATGAGCGATGTGAGTGCTATAAAGTGGTGTAATGAAATAAGCGTGCACATGCTCTGTTCTCAAATTTCATTTTTTATTTTCTGGATTTCAGCCGACTGCTGTTTTTGGTCTTTAACAGATGAACACTTTGAGATGGCTGTGACACAAACAGGCTTATTCAGTTATGTTTTGGCTGTTTGATAGGGCTATGGTGATGCAGGGTTTCATTCAATGGTTCTCTCATAGTACCGTTTGCTTCAAACTCCACCTGTATGCACAGCCCATTTCATCAAAAGCACATAGCGCCGATATGACGCTTTGTTTGGACTTTGACGCACAGCACACGAGGCCGAGTGAAGAGAAAAAAGGAGGAGTGCGAGAGGAATTAGTGAGGTATAAAGGGAAACAAATGGCTCATCACTGACTCACATTCAAAAGGAAATGACGTCAGCTCTCGTCCGCCCTTGACCTCAGCTCGCCTATGGTTGGCTGTGTTGTTGCCTAGCAATTATGACGAATAATTGAGTCACGAGGACAGGAGAGGAAAGCAGGTCTGCGTTAACAGTACGAGCTGAGAAGAAAACTGGTGAGAAATGGTCATTGTGGTATCGTGTAAGGATTTGAGGGAAGGAAAATAAAAGGTTGACGTTGAGCCTCGCACACTTCCCAGCTGCAGCCTTTAGGGGATGCTAATGCTCAAATATGCACACGACAAAAAATGACTCATGTCTGTGAATCAATACTTCAACTACTGCACAGATTTTCATAAAGTAAAAAGTCATGAAGAATGTTCAGTGACAAAAGGTGTATTTATTTGAGAGATGACTTTAGTCAAGGGGCTCAATAACCTAATGCTCGTTTGTTGCAAGTCATATTAAGAGTGAAATCAGTGATCCACACAGTATCATGTTAAATTCCTTTTTCAATGTTTCCTGCTCCCTCTAATAGGTGGTAGGCAGTATGGATGCCCATCCCAGCAGATACTGTGCCACAGTGCGCGTCCAGAGACCCAGGCAGGAAATCATTGAAGATTTATCTTACATGGTGCGCGAACTGCTGATTCAGTTCTACAAGTCGACCCGCTTCAAGCCCACCAGGATCATTTTCTACAGAGACGGTGTTCCTGAGGGACAGTTGCCTCAGGTAGGTGGGACGTTGCGATCTTAATGACACAATGCCACCAAAATCCATTTTAACATGTTTTAATCTGAGTGCTAACTGTTACACACAGATTCTCCACTACGAGCTGCTGGCCATCAGAGATGCGTGCATAAAGTTGGAAAAGGACTATCAGCCTGGTATCACCTACATCGTGGTGCAGAAACGTCACCACACACGCCTCTTCTGTGCTGATAAATCTGAAAGGGTAAACTTTCTTTGTTTTCCCTTCAGTTTTTCTGTTTCCGACTAAGTTTTCATACTTGCTTACCTGTTTTTTTCCTTGTGTTATCTTTGGACAGATTGGGAAGAGTGGGAACATTCCTGCAGGGACTACAGTGGACACCAGCATCACTCATCCCTTCGAGTTTGACTTCTACCTGTGTAGTCATGCAGGAATACAGGTATTTATAATAGATATTTTATTGTTCCATAGAAATCTCTATTATAATATAATAAGAACAAATCTGTTTGACTTCTTTTAACCTTGCAGTTATCTTACACAAAAAAATTATTGTTATTTTAATTGCCCTTTTCTCCTCGGTCCTCAGGGTACCAGCCGGCCGTCTCATTATTACGTCTTATGGGACGACAATCGCTTCACAGCTGATGAGTTGCAGATTCTAACCTACCAGTTGTGCCACACTTACGTGCGCTGTACCCGCTCAGTCTCCATCCCTGCCCCAGCCTACTATGCTCGTCTCGTGGCCTTCCGTGCCCGCTACCATCTGGTAGACAAAGAACATGACAGGTCAGTGTGGCTACGAAAGATAGACTACGCATGTCTTTATTCTTGGTTGGTTGATGTTTGTTGGGGGGTTGGTAAGCTTGCTCCCTCTGTGGCCTCAGTAAGCACTTTCTTGACTTTCACAGTTGGTAGTTTCAGGTCAAACTGAAGTTAATTTTGTAAATTATGGCCATTCTTAGAGGCAGAATTAACGATTATCCAGGGTGTGTGCACTGGCTAATGATTTGTCAATCACAAGTCATTCACAGTCAAGTCCATCCCTCCCTAGTCATGCTCAGTTTCAAAACACCAAGATAACAGGACTTCGCTAACCAGTGATTGGCATCACAGTTTTTACATACATCTTTTATACTGTCTACAGTTTGTCACTGACAACTCCTTCGACCAGCAGCAAGTGGGGCTGTTGGTCTGCTGCTGCTGCCAATTTTATTCTTATCAAGACATGAAATGTGTAACTCATCTTTGCTCGCTCTCTCATCACCCTCTTGTCTCTCTGCAGTGGAGAGGGCAGCCATGTGTCCGGTCAGAGTAACGGTCGGGATCCCCAGGCGTTGGCTAAGGCTGTTCAGATTCATCATGACACTCTGAGGACCATGTACTTCGCCTGAGCGTCACCAACCATCGCCGCCATCGTTCCCTCCCACCTCATTTCTACCTGAGTGGGCAAACGGCCCACCGGCACCACCTCATCCCCATCCCTTACTCCCTACAATTGCCCACTACACATACTTCACAGCAATCAGTCACTCAAATCCAAGAAACACAAATCCCCTCTCCTGTAAAACACAGGTAGACTCTGCAGCCTCATGCACTCAAAAGGTTATGAATATTACTGTTATTTTTACTTTACCGGGACTATTGATCTTTTTAAGTTGAATTTTTAAATCATGGGTATTATGTAATTGTATTGTATGCTACCTTCACACTCCTATGTATGTAAGTATGCAATACGGATGGGAGAAAAATAGAAAACTAGGCGATAAAAAGGAGAAAAGAAATCCTAAAAACTTTTTTAACTGCCACCACGATGCTGCCTCTACCCATCCAAATGCCGGATGCCAGTATTGCAAGCCCCTTGTTAGATGGGATCCTCATTAGAGGTGGTACTGGGCACGCACACTTACATGTATCATTTTAATGTTATCATGAACTACATTCATGTTTTTTAATGTTTTTGAAAACTGTTTTTTTTTAAACAGCCTTGAGGAGTCCGGGGTATGGTACATTAGCACTTAGTGTTAGCATGTAGGTGCCACCAGTCCTGCACATAAAGAGTTTGTTAGTACATGCGAGGCTAGCCCTCTGGTCTTTATATTATAGCAGACAAAGAAAGAGCAGGTGTAGCATATTGTAGATCCAGGACAGGAGTCCTGCCACACACTCTGTCCTGGTTGGCCAGTCCCTTAGAGATTTCGCCTTTAGAGGCAAGTTTAGCGTAACAGTAGAGGGACCATTTGCATAGTGTGTATCTAATATACTTGCACCCCATGCACCTAAACCAGCATTGTTAACCAGCCAAAAGTGATGCCACCCTATGGAAAGGGGGCACTCAAACAGGAAGATAATCTTTTATTTCTCTATACATCGCTCTTTTAGAATTTACGAGGCACTTTTTAAACTTTACTTTTATTTTATTTTACTTCAAAATGGTGAAACTAGCCTTTGGCGAGACTTTACACTCTACATTTGAACGTTTCACACCCACACTTTCGTAGCTTTCAGAACAAAGGCAATAGGCAAGGTCAACACTATTCTGTAGAGTTAAAAGCAGGCAAATATAGTCTATGATCACTTAAGTGCTGCAAAGCTGAAGTCGCCTTCAGCAACTGACCTTGCTCCGATCCGTCTGCACATTCCAACGTGTATCAGTGGAAATGGCGCCAAGCGGCGCGCTCCACGCATCCACCCGTGCTTTTCTTTGCCTAACTGTACCAACCTATCCTGCGCCTGTCCCGCTTTTACACAGAGCTCTTCCCCTCTGCAGGCATTTACAACAGAAGCACACACATGCCTGCGCTCTCAGTCTCCTTCTCAGCATGCAGAGACATAGCTGATCAAATGCACTTGTTCCCCCCATTCCCACGTTAAGCCAAACTCATCAACCTTTCCGCCATCACCTTTTATCCTTGCCGTCTGTTCTCACTCGTCGCATAACACACCTGCAGCATCCCCTGCCCCAATCCCCTATGTTGTGTTAGCCAATCCCTATTGGTGCTCTGTGTGCGTGGGCAGCACAGTTAGGGGATTGCTACATTTGACAGGGTGGGCCTCTATCACGACTATTTAACATGCCCTGCCTTTACATCTAGTCACTTTCTGGATTTATGGAAGAAAAATGCATGTAATTATTTTTTATGACTGGATATTCTGAGCCACCTTACTTTGGTTTTCTTAGAGGTAGGAGCCTCGCGCTCACCACTGCCTGTCAGTCGTTTTGCCTCGATTGTGTAATGGTTATAAAGACTGCTTTTTTCCTTTGTCATTATTATTATGAATATTGTGACTAGTGTCAGAGTGTATCCTCAAGAGGGCACTGTGGAGACGGTCCCAAAATTCCACCTCAGTTGCCCTTTAAGCGCCTCAAATCTTGTCTGATGGTCAGACCCCCTTTTGAGTCGAAAGGGATCAAAAGATAAGAGATCAGATGAGTTTGATTTTTAAATCATGTTTATGAACTTGCATAATCAAAATGCCTTTGTACACCGTTTTACTGATCCTTCATTGTGTCCACAGTGATTTGTATATATGAATATATAATATTAACCTGTTATGTATTTTGGCCCAGCAGTTGAGGGGCTTTTCACAGTCGGGGCCAGTCTTCTGCCCCTCATTCTGCGTTTTAAAAAAAAAAAGAAAGAAAGAAAGAAAGGAAAAATATCAACCTGGGGGCATTTCCCCAACACCACTGAAACCAGATGCAGTTCTTCACTCACTGAAGCCACAAAGCACCTTGCAAAGGGGGGAGACGAAATGGCAGTCACCCTGGAAATGTATCATGTGGACACGGGAGAGTCCGTTCCCCCTCCATGCAGCCTCACGGTCTGACTAAGCAATATTGAAGCCACTGATCAAGAACAGTCCTTGTCATAGCACTTCCCAATAGATTTGAATGAAAGGACGTGGAAGCATATTATTTTGGCTCTGTATGTGATAGTATGGGAACTCTGTTGGGGAGGGTTATTTTTTAAAGAAAATAAAATTGTTTTTTATTACTCTTGTTGCGTTTTTTGTTTGATTTTAGTGTGCGTTTAATACAGCTTTGTCTGAAAAGTAAGTCATGGGATTTATCAAGGCTTACTCTCATAGCATCCTGAAATCCACCTTAACTAATGATTCTTAGATATTAATGCATGGGTGGATGAAGAAAAAAATGCACCTCCTAAGTCTCAAACTGTAATTCATTCAAAAGGTGGGGTTACCTTTGGGTGAGGGCGGAGCTGGCGGTCTGACGTCTGGTGACACGGGCCCACCTCTTCCTGTCGGTGTCAGAAAGGCAACTTCACCATATTTAGCTGGCTTGCCGAAGCCTTGCAGAGTTGATCTGTCAACCAGACTGGAGATCGTGACACTTATCGGCGCATACATCGCGCTGTTGACAGCTTTACTTTTGGCAGCTGAACGCGTACTACGGAGGACGACGTCGTGGGTGTACGGCCCTCGGGAGAAGGGCCCGTATCAGCAGCTGTTTTTAACGCAGGAAAAGTAGCCGTCGTCTGACAGAATTCCAACTCTCCGACAGCCTAGCTAGTCAGCTAGCTAATTAGGGTTGCTTTCCCGACATTAGCTTTGCTGTAGATACGAATTTATGACGTCTCTTTTAATGATCAGATATCGGTAGGGATTCATTTGGACTCCGTGACCCCGCTGTGATGATATCCTGACAGCTCCTCAAACCACTGTCCCCCCCCCCCACTCGAGCCTGGCTAGTGAGTTAACTTGGCTAACTAGCAGGTTTTCACTGCCACAGCGCCGCGTTGAGCAGCCAGCAGCTTTCGCCGTGGCAGTGAAATCCGATTGGATACGTTGACCGAGTGCAAACGGCGGTTTGTGGAGACTCTGAAGACCCTCGGCCGGCGAAGTGACCGTGCCGGAGGCCCCCCCCTCTCCTTTGACAGGACACAGAGAGACCAGGACCCTCGGCCACTCAGCGCTGCAGAGGCGGTGCACAGCCGAAGGAGACACCGGATTGAACGGAGGAAGAGTCCCAAACGTTTGACAACTGTGATCCGGGAAGTGAACCGGGCATTGACCTCATGAATGGAAATCGGAACTACAGGTAATTTATTCTGTCCTTACTGATTCGTTTGGTGCTTCACGGTAGTCGTAGGAGTCGCGTTTCCTGAGAAACGTAATATTATTAGCTAGCGTCGGTGAAATGAAACATCGGGATGTGGGGCTTTCTTCAGCCGAAGGCGTTTAACCGTAACCAGGGAGTTTTTCTTTTTGTCCGCCCTGCAGTTAATTTGCCTAAACATGCGTCACAGTTGAAATGGTTTCATTGAAAATCGCCAGTCATACCAGGCTGTATTCACAGGTTAAATACTGACCTGTCCATAACACAGCTCTGCCGGGTGATGAGGAGAGATCTCAGCGCAAACTCATCAGTCAGATGTGGGGACAGCTGCTGAAGATGAGTCTCTGCATTATAGAAGACTTCAAATCCAGTGTGGCTTGTGGCAGAGGGTGAACTCTGGCCTGGCCTTCCACCCCCCGGTCTTGGTCAACAACTGACCCCAAACTGACCTCGGCATATTTTAGGAGCGGCATCCTCTTCCTGCATCTACGATCTAAAAGATGTGCTTTGTCATGCCCCATATTTGTGTATACTAAAACATTTTTAACCTTTCCTAATGAGGGAGTTGCCAAACTTCAGTTATGGCTGTTGAGCCAGAGATAATTGTTTTAAATTGGCCTTAAAGACTAGAAAACTGTGTTATAACACATTTTTATCTGTGACCTTATGTAACATTGCACACTTTTGAATGTCGCCGGAGATGCATGCTGTCACCTGGCTGCATCCAGGCTCTTTCTCTTGGTCTTAGTGGCAGTTAAACTGTCTGAACCACCTGGCCTTTGTCTCATCTGTAACGGAAGCTTTCCACTTATGTGACCATAAACTGAATGCTAGGTACTCTTGATCAGCCACTGACACATGATACAGCAGTTGGTTCACTGCCCACCTCCTCCTCTTCAGAGGAGATCCCTCTCTGCTGCCTAATGTCTCATTATCATCTCAGCTCCTCTCAGGTGGGACACTTCCCAGCATTGCTAGTAGAAGGGACCACAAGGTGTTTTCCTAGTAACCGAGCACCTACAGTAGAGTAAAACGTGTATGCACAGTGTGCCCTTTGAACTAGAATAAACTTGGCGTGTTCTCACAGGCCAAATGACTAGCTTGTTATCTCCCAGTTAAACAGGATGTTTAATCTGCCTCTTCCCCAAAAGAAGAAAAGTTAGCCGATTTGCAATTTCATGCAGAGCATACTGCTAGCCAGCCTAACATTAAGTGCATTAAAGAGCGTGCTTCATGCTTTCACTTTGGAAAGCATTAATGCATTAATACAAACAAATAAACAGAGGTAGTTTTAATGTGCAGGTTTGAGGCTTCAGGGTATTAATATTATTGGTCTTCATACTGGTTCACAATCCCATATCACTGACGGCTGCAGTCAGCTCTGTCTGGGTGAATAATTGAAAGAGGGTCTTCCGTCAGTCAGTTAGTCAGTGGCTTGGAGAGTGGTGTGAAAATGCGAATGGATTGCCTGCTGAATTAGAAACTGATAGCGACTCTTCTCTCCAGAACTGGTCTGAGCAGCAGCTTATGTGGTAAGGAAATCATGGCTCTGGAGAGCTTAGCACCAAGGGTGTAATGAGTAGAAGGCTTTTAAGTTTTAAATAAATCAAATCCATTTTGATGTGTTAACTCCACAGCGTGTCCCCAAACACTTTCTCACTTGTTATTGAAGTAATATTACTTTATGGCTGAGTTTTTAAGCCAGAACTAGTGATAATGTTCAAATCACGGGCACAGTTATATAGGACTCGTATTTAAAGTAATCTGTATTCTTTTGACACGCAGAACGCAGAGATTTGAAGGTTTCAGTGGCACTGGGGGTGTGACACATCTGAAACCGAGACATCAAACCGCAACACCAACATCTTCCCGTACTATGATATCCATGTGGAGCTGTTAATACCTAGCTCAGATGTTTCACAGATTATATTTAAAATGCATCAGTATGATGGAGGTTTTTCTTGTGTGGCGCTATACAAGAGAGCCTTTAAATAAGCGGTGGGTATTTTGGGAAATACGTTGCTTTAGTGCTGTGATTTGTTGTGCACCCTCTTGTTTGTTCTCCAGTCACCAATCTCTCACGTAACTGTTGGCACAGAAGGAAATAATCACATCAAACACATTGCTTTGCACCTAAATTTTGCTCGCAGCAAATTGAAAATAGCAGTTCAGTCTGCTTCAAATGGGATTAATATATTAAAAAAACAACAACAAAATCCGCAAATATGACACCTGTCACTTCCAGCCGTCATCTTTCTTCTCATGCTTAATGCTAGATCAACTTCTATGAAGGTAGCATTAACCTGATCTCAGTAATTTCCACTGTGTTGCTGATTTTTAACAACATTATGTAGTGTGTAGTAGTATCCTAGTCAGGAGGGATGCTGAAAGAAGGAAAAAGGGTGTGGAAGAGTGAGGTGAAAGTCAAGATGAAAAGAGGAAGACCACAACGACAGCTCATGTGGTGAAAGAGGGTGAGGGGGAGATGTAGGCAGATGATCCGCTCTGGTGTCCCGTAAAGGGAACAGCTGAGAAAAAGGCTGTCCAGCTGTTTGGTCTGTTTACCTGCATTAGCCAGTGTGATCCAACTTGACGGTTCCCCAGATTTATTCTGACCCTTCTCTAGAGAAAGAAATATTAATTAATCTTATGAAGTACATGGACCGGTTGTTATATAGCCCTTTTTTCTTTTTTTTCTACTGGAGCACTCAGAACAACATACCTCATTCACCCATTCACACTCGGGATCAGGTCAGTATCTTGTCCAAGGATACTTAGGCACGCAGACTGGAGCAGCCAGGGATT